CCTCCAACAATCCTTCCTCACAATGCCAACATGCAGACGCAAACGTGTCGTCCTCACAGAACCATCCGAGACCCTTCTTCAGGCTGCAAAGTCCAACCCTAACAAGGAGGTCTATTATCTACAACAAACTGGCGAGATATTTGAAACTTATGAGTTTGTCAAACCTTTTATTTTTTCAATGTCTCCTACAACTATGTTCTCCTCAGGGCCTACGCTGCGAGGATGTCATTTTACAGGCTCAAGCAGTTCCAGTGCGAGGTCACAGGAAAGAGCGGCCTTGACTACTTTCAGGCGCTTGAAAGCGAACAACAGGAGGCACAAACTATGCACTCCAGGTTCCCCGAGCCTCTGAAAGCCGCTGTCCTCAAGGCTGTTCAATGGCGTGCGTCTTCTCTCAGTTCTGCCGGGCTCGAACGTTGATCATATATGTTGTCTGTAGAGGTCGTAGGTCGACTAGACCACCTCGTAGAAGCCGTCTTTGACCGGTTCAAGGACCGCTATTTTGTGGATGAGAGTAAGTTGGTCTGTTAACGTTAATTTACCCTGGTACTCATCCCATACTTTCACGCGACGTCAGAGGTGTTCGTTGACGCGCAAGGGGACAAGTTCGTGTATTACACCTTGAGGTTTCTACTCGGTAACTGACACGTATTTTTGCAGGTTCTACGCGAAAGTTGTGCAGGTGCATCCCCCGAAGACCAAGGGTGAAAGTGTCGGTGTCCCAGTCGAGAATCAAGCCTCATCTTCATCAGTGCCATCTCCACCTCACGAAATTTCTGATGATGACGCAGCTCAAATCCACAAGATTGGTGGAGACTTGAAGATCCCAGCGAAGGAAGCATTGGTCCGCGACGACCCCCTTAAGTACTCCTACAAGGTTCAGATACTCGAAGAGCAACACGAGAAGAGTCACGAGAAAGGAAAGGCTGCATCGAAAGACAAAGCTAAGTGGAGCGGTAGCTTCATGGATGTACAGTGTAGTGTCATGAGGTTTGTAGCCCTCATTAACCCAGCATGAACAAAACTGACCACGTCTTCTTGTAGCCGCGATCGTCTTGCATTCTCAAAGTCTATTCTTCGTCGCTTTATCCGTGACTGTGTTGATCGTGATGCTGCCGTCGCCTCGCCATGGACAGTAAAACCGGTCATCGCGAAGCACTATGGTGTCGACTCTGTAATGCCAGAGGAAACACGCAAAGGTGTCGAAGACATCAAACGTGGTGAGATTGATAAGCGTAAAAAGATATGGGAGGACAAGGAAGGACCACCAACCAAGAAGCAGAAAAAGATGACTGCTGCTCAGGAGGAAAGAGGTAACGTTTCTCTATCTTGGATAATACCTGGTGCTGATTACCGTAACAGTGAAAGCATTAGCTGTTGCGGCTGAAAAGCGAGAGCGCGAGGCTCGTGAAAAGGCAGAGCGTCAACAAAAGGCAAAAGAAGAGGCTGAGCGACTGGCTGCAGAGAAGAAGAAGAAGAAACCCATTCGCTACCCTACTGAAGATCTGGACGTTCGGCTCAATGACAAGGAGAAGAAAGCAGGTTTGAAGGTCAAAAAGCCGACACCGAGCAAATTGGGACTTCCGTTTGGCGAGAATCAGGGTACTTTTGAAGCATTTTTAACGTCATGGAATTTTCTGGTCATCTATGGGTGAGTGAACAATTGCAAATGGTTACATATAAATATTTAACAGTCTGTCGCAGACAACCTCTCCACTTGTCAACATTTACAATGGACGAATTTGAACATGCTTTGCGGCATTCCCTCGTAGACCCGCCTTGTGCACTACTAGGCGAGATTCACTCAACGCTCATTTATAACCTACGCACAGTGCCATTTACTCGGCATAGTGCCGTCCTGTCGTTGCTGCGTCTCCAAGATACACTTGAAGAAGACGACCGAGTGCTTGGTGTTTCAGTTGATGAGTTAGCTGGTGCCATGGCCGACGTGGGGAACAACTGGGAACGGATCCCCTTACGGCACACTGAGATGCGGGACGGGTGGGAGGAGGCTCTTCTTGGATGCCTGAAAGATGTAGAGTGATTTCAACCTATTGTTCATATTCAATGCTCATTTCTGATAGCATGCCACATTCGACAACTTTCCTCGCCTGCGAGAAGTCTTGACAAGATTACTATTTGCCCCGGAACCACACGCAGAAGTTTCGTCTTCATCGTCAAGTTCTCGTGTTTCAAGTCCTGCTGCAAACAACCTATCTGTTCAATCCTCACCCAGCGAGCGTTACTATGCGTTGCCTCCTGCGGATAGGATTGATATCCTTACTTTGATGTGCAATCTCGCCGTATCAAGCAAGGCAGTTCATTCCCATATGGAGTCATGCGAAGAGCAGCTAACTGCCCTTCGCAAGGAAAAAATAGAGATTGGCCGCCAGAAAAAGCAGTAGTGAGTTCGCTTTGGCGCACAGCGGTATCTCTATTTAACGTCCTTTTTCAGCACTGAGGAAATGAATTCCCTTGCCGGGGAAACAGAAGTGAAGGAACCCGTAACCAACGGCATCGTTCCAGATGAAGATACGATGATGCATGAGTCCAGTGATCTTTCGGACGTTCCTTCAGAAGATGGCTCGGAGACCGCATCTACTTCCAGTGCTCGCCAAAAGAGATCAGCGCGTCAGAAAGATCTTCGTCAGAAAGCCCACACTCAGGCACATGCGAAGCAACGAGAGCTCGCTCGCGCTCAGGCAGCCTCTGCGAAGCAAGCACTGGCAGAACATCGCAGACTTGATGAAGAGGTTAATAAGCTCGAGCGTCGATTAGAGGCAATTGAACGAGAGTTTAGGAAACTACTTGGTGCAGTGCGAATCAAACCATTGGGAAAGGACCGGTTCCATAATCGGATTTGGTGGTTCGACGGCATGGGATCCGCTTCTTTGCTGGGTAGTGGAGGCGTTGTCCAGTACGGAACTGGTCGAATCTTTATACAGGGCCCGAGCGAGATGGATTTGGAGTTGATGTTGAAGAGGGATGATGATGACTATGAAGCTAGGAGGCTTGAAGAAGAGGGGCCAGAGGGGATGCTGGCTCCATCCGAGTGGGCACAGTATGCCGAGCCCGAGGAGGTTATATCCTTTCGCTATTATTTTGTTGACCGTCGTTGACCTTCTGGCTTTGCAGCTTGACGAGTTCCTTGCTTGGCTGAACCCCAAGGGTGTCCGGGAACTAGCCCTGAAGAATTCATTCATAAAGTGGTGGAGTCATATCGCTCCTGGCATGCGCAAACGGATCTCTGTAGGTACTTGAGATCCCGACAACCACCGCTGTCTAATCACTATGAGCAGGATCTCAACATAAGTGCAAAGCTTCCTGAAGCCAGACGCAGCACCCGAACCAAATCTTCTGGTCACGACGTCTCTCGCGAGCCTTACATGATGTGGACAAATCGAAGAGCTGTTAACTCAGTATAACGTACGTATGTGCCGTCCCGTAAACATCTCATTCCTGTTGAGGTTGCGGCGGTGTTTACGCTCTTCAACCCTTGCCGTTCAGCATCATTGCAGTATTCAGATAAGTAGTGAAAGCGTGCGATGATGCACTCGGGAGAGCCTTTCGATGAACATAATAAAGCGCAGTTTGAGAGCAATCGAGAACTGCAAATATGTAACCTATATACAAACTGTATATGGTGCGAAAACAGAGTTCATGGTATCCTGTTATCAGTTGGATCTTGCCCAGTTCTTTCGAACAACTTTGATCAAACGAGTGATGGATGACCGAATTCATGGTACCCCGTTATCAGTCGGACCTTACTCAGTTCCTTCGAACCTTGAGCCAAGAGGACACCCTCACGGCATTCACATTGAAAAAACCCCAGACTCTACTCAACACGTTCACTTCAGCTTAGCGCGATATGACATGCCAGCACCTGCCACCATCTTGTCCTGATAGAAGGAACGACTGCCTTCCTTCTCTTAGTCTGCTTATAGTAGACTGAGGACAGCTAGGTCATCGGGGAGCATTGCATGTAAGTTGTAATATCATCGGCTTTCTTCGACTTTGTATCGAAATCACTATCGCCATTGAATTTGTCCGGATTCACCATACTATCAGGCTTCTTGAGCGCTCCACAGCGGAGATGATACGATGATTAGATTAGCTACCAAGTGAGCCTGGAGTAATTGAAAACACGAAAATTTCAAGTTTTTTGTGGCCTCCCACCTCCGGAGGGGGGTCACAATTATGCCTCCCCAGCATCCACCTTCGGACCATCCCAGACTATCCCAGGCCGGACAAGTCCCTAGTAGCGACAAATTCTACCCTCTCCTGAGGTGGAAATTTCGCAGGTGGACCGAGGGTAGTCCTTAGCAGGAATTATCAGGGGTCCTGAAGCCACCGCCATGAGCGCTTCGGACCATGTGTTTCGTCACCATCAATTGATCGATTTGATCAGTAACGTCAACTTTTAGTCTTTGAGTCGACTTTCCTATGGTGATCGCCAATATCATACATAGGGCTCGCCGGTTCGGCCGTCAGAAACGTTCATATGGAAGGGTCAATTGAATAAAATTTCCTGGAGTTGGTTCCTGACTAACATAAATCTGATCAACCCTTGAAGTCAGCTTTCGCCCGGATCTCCCGTGGACCCTAATTGTTCGATTATTCTGTCACTAGTATTTTCACGGCCGCGCGTCACCTTTGAAAGTTTATGCCCTTGTCATTGGACACATTATTGATATATAGCAAGCAGTGTCCTACATTCAGAGATGACGTCCTACACATCTGGTGCAGGAATACCCTTCACTTATGGCTCTGTGGCTAGTTCTTCAGGCAGCATGAGGGATGCTATCGCTTCATGTGAGTACTGAAACCGCTCCTACTGGTCTTCAGTCAGTCTCACTCCAAATGCAGACCGTCGCTCGCAATTCTTTGCCAGTTCAAATATACCATATAACGCTCACTTTTCTGACGAAGGGTCAGATGAAGAAGCTTGCTTTGGAGAAGACGACGAGGAAGGCGAGTTAACACCAATACCCAGGGATGACATGACAGAGTTGTGGGACTGGGACGAAGCGTCCCGTCCAGTCTTGCAACCTGCACGAACTTTTATCCCCCGACGGCCTGTTGATACACGGGAAATCACTGCTGCTGGTGGAAGTCAATTTGCCCAATCAACTACTGATGAAGCTGCTCCTTTACTCAAAGCATCTCCCACATCTTGTAATCAAATCAGTTATGGGGGGTCTGATCCAGATGCCTACGTAGGTGAAGAGTCACGCGGCCCAACAGATCGGTCTTTACTGCGGCGCAAGTCGTCAGCTACCCTGAAGAAACCACACAATTACGGAGGACAAAGTACCTACGGGCAGACAGTAGGTGTTGTTATTCAATCGCAAATGTCTCTACTAAGTGCGGCAGTTATTCAACAGTATCGCGATACTATTGGGCATAGGAATGCTATCCGAGCCCCTGGCCTTCGCATATGCTGGTTGGGTCGGTGGATCGGTTCTCATTGTATTTATGGGCTTCTTGAATTGCTATACGTCAGTTGAACTCGTATCATTTAACCATGTTCTCCCGCTCATCGCATACAACAGTGCTAAGATTCTTGCTGGTATCATCTTGGAGGACCCTCGTTTGAGGTCATACGCCGACATTGGTCGTAAGGCGTTTGGTCCAAAGTCAACTGCCCTGACCACGATTATGTTTTGTCTTGAACTTTTTGCCGTCGGGTCAGCGTGTTTTCTAAATGAGACTTGGTCACATTGTTTGACGTATCTTTAGCGTTGCTTTCGTCACTCTGGCAGCTGACTCCATGCACGAAGTCATGCCAGCGTATTCCTCAAACACGTTTAAAATCGCGTCCATAGTCGTGTAAGTGTTGCTTCCTGATGCTGCCAACACAATTCTCATGGTTCCTCGACCCTCTAAACGATAGATTGGTACCATTGGTTTTTCTACCGCTATCCATACTCTCTTATACCTCGATACTTGGCATCTGTTCGACGCTCCTCATCATTCTTGTCATTTTCATAGATGGATTTTCTAAGCCAGATGCTCCTGGTAGCCTCTGGAGTCCGGCCGCAACGTCTTGGGGGACTGACTCTATGACAGAGCTCGGAGTTGCTTTTGGCTTGTTAATGGCTGGCGTATGTCTCATCTTGCATGAGGTTACCGAGATATGTCACTCATTGTCAATGTTTTAGTTTTCTGGTCATGCTGTAATACCATCGTTGGCCCGTGACATGGTTGATCCTTCCGAGTTTAATAACATGATCAACTGGGCTTTCGTGAGTGGATTTGCTAATGCATTTTTAACTTGTTGTTCACCATTCCCCAATCCTCGTTAGGTCGTTACCACATTCATCTATGGAGTCATTGGTTATGCTGGGTACTTGATGTTCGGGCGAAACGTGAGCGACGAGGTGAGCCTTATAATCTCAACTTTTGGATGTCAACTCGAGACGGCGTATCTAGGTCAGTAAGGACCTCATGAGCACTCCTGGTTATAACTCATGGATCAATGAAATCGCACTATGGACGTTGGTGTCAACCCCTCTGTGAGTTTTGGAAACTCCCTTCCTTTCCTAGCATTGAAACTTTTGTGAACAGCACAAAATTTCCTCTCAGCACGCGGCCAGTGAGTGATACACACTCCTAGAGGACTCAGTACTGATGTGCTTCTGTCTAGCTCAACGTCATCCTCGAAATCATGCTCGGTATAGATAATCATACACCATTTCAGGGTGGTGTCAAACCCCAGCTGGACACTCAGCTTTCTACTGCTCGTCGACTTTTGAATCGCGCATTCTTCATTGTCGGCCGCATATCTGTCCCCGCGCTGTCTATTTTGGTGTCGATCCTCGTTCCGGAGTTTAGTTCCCTTATGGCCTTCCTTGGTTCATTCTCGGCCTTCATGATCTGCGTCATTGGTCCTATCTCAGCCAAGATTGCCCTTGAGGGAAGGTGTGGTTTGGTTGATATTTCATTGCTCACAATAGCCATTGTGATGGCAACTTGGGGGACGCTCGCTGCATTTTGGGCAGCGTGAAGTTCTCGTTGGTCTCGAGGAAATATTTTCTTGGTACTTTATTACTGCCCTTTGAACCTCAGGCTTCATATTGTTCTGACGTTTTACTTGCGTTTTCCGCCGTATCACGCAAATATGTACTATAGCCATCCGTATCGTCATCCAGTTGCGTCACATCCATCGACATCATATTAAGTGGGTAATGTACAATGTACACAAATATTGTCGTAGCAAGTCATCATTTGACCTGCACAGTATGTGAAATGACCTTGCTAAGCTCTACAAAAAATCAAATAGATTGACCGCGGTCCAAAAGTTGCAGCAAATAGAAACTCACGTGGAAGCTTGATATGTTCTTGAATGACGACTGATTCAATCTGATTGTCAGGGTTTGGCGGTATGCTGACCACGCCAGTCGATGAATCAAATGTCCATCGCTGTTTTGCGACCCAAACCTCTAGCTCCGGTCCTATAAACACAATATCAACAACTGGACAGAAGCAACACAATATTCATAACAAACCTGATAAATCCACATAGGTTCCCAGCCTCTCATTGCTGATCCGCGTGAAAGTAGCCTTTACTGATCGCGCGGCGACTTCCCGGATGGCATCTTCGAATCCTGCACACTCCACTGTATAATTCTCTCTTATAACCTCCAAATCATCAGACCGGTACAGGACCCAAAACGCAGAGAAACGACACTGGTGAAGAAGGTTATAGAGATTCATGAGGAGTGGCAGGAGCGTAGGCAATGGGTCGGGCTCGTCGAGCGTAGAATTTGGCGGCCGGTCGTCGAGGAGAGATATGCAGAGGTTGAAGTCTGGGAAAGGCTCTGCTGTAAGAGCTTTGAGGAGGATATTAATGACCACGTCGGGATTGAAGAGGTCAGGGTTGAATTGGTAGCTGTGACCGAGGTATCGATATTTGAGCTTCCAAGATGAATCAAAGAGAACTTACAGCTTCAAAATAGCCAGGTTGGCAAGGCAGTCATACTCCTCGCTACGGATCTGGTGATAGAGGTAATCCTCAAGAATACCGACATTTGATGGGTTGTAACGGTCTGAGATTGCATATGAGAGCCAGATCGATGGTGAAGAATTTGTAATCACCCACCAACACCAGATACTAGATTTTCAATAAGTTCCGTCCGTGAAGGAGGGGAAAGCCACGCTGTTGTTGCTGCCATCGCTGCGTTGTTTTTGAAGGATATGTGTAGCGGAAGAGCAAAAACTAAAAAGTCGATAGACCCCAGACACCGGGACTGAAATAGACTTTAGTTGATTGATCTAGAGTCTTCTTCGTACTACATAGTACATATGTGCAGGTACGTAGTACTGTCAGACTGAGGATCCATATTCTATTCACCCACCGACTTTCTAGTTACTCATGGCCGTCGAAGACAATTGTTCGATGAACGGGGCTAACGGAGACACCTCGCAAATTGATGCCGTCGTGTCAAATGAGAGCTCAGACGAAGGGGTCGAGGAAACAACTGAAGATCACCATCTTCCGAATGGGCGCATACAATCTACTCCTGTTCCAGATGCAACGATTCTCAAGACAAATAGATCGAGGCCACAATATGCAGTAAAGTACATTTTGAGCGGACACACTATGGCAATATCCTCCCTCAAGTTCAGTCCAGACGGTACTATGCTTGCTTCATCAGGTGCGCCTCTTTGCCCTACTAATTAGTTGCGCGTTGCCGACCCTGAAAACTTTGGAAGCAAGCCGCCGACAAACTGGTGAAGCTGTGGGATGCATACTCAGGAGAGATATTAAGAACTTTCGAAGGCCATACTGAGGGTGTTAACGATGTCGCCTGGTCCAACGATGGGGAATTTCTTGCCTCCGCATCGGACGATAAAAGTATCATACTTTGGAGCTTGGAGACGGTGCGCTGCCTCTACTTCGGTCCTGCCTGTCATTAAACTTTTTATTTCAGAATTCTGCTGTGAAAACCCTACTAGGGCACACAAATTTCGTCTTCTGCGTTAACTTCAATCCCAGGTCTAATCTTTTGGTCACCGGGGGATATGATGAAACTGTTCGCGTCTGGGACGTAGCAAGAGGTCTGTCGATTTGACTTGCTCACTGAATAGCAGCTGAACGTTACCAGGGAAATCTTTAAAGGTTCTTCCTGCCCACTCAGATCCTGTGACTGCTGTCAGTTTTAATCACGACGGAACGCTCATAGTCTCCTGCGCGATGGATGGACTAATGTAAGTACATCAGGCTATGGCGAGGTATTTCTCTGACGAAATCTAGACGAATTTGGGATGCTGAGTCCGGACAGTGTTTGAAGACTATTGTCGATGACGATAACCCTATATGGTGAAGGCTTTCCGTCATTCTTTCGCGTGGTACTGACTCGGTGCTCTCAGTTCACACGTCAAATTCTCTCCGAACTCGAAATTTATTCTATCAGCGACCCAGGACTCGACAATCAGACTTTGGGACTACCAGAAGACACGTTGCGTCAAAACATACACTGGTCACACCAACAGGACATATTGTCTGTTCACTTGCTTCAGTACCACTCAAGGATTATACGTAGTGAGTGGTAGCGAGGACGCAAAAATATATGTATGGGACTTGCAGAGTCGCGAAGTGCTACAGGTCCTTGAAGGCCACAGAGGTACATTTCTTTAGTTCCATTGTATTCAGTGGCTGATGTGGTTTGCGCAGATGCTGTCTTAGCAATTGCGGTAAGAAAAGCCTCGGCATAAGCTTGTCATAGACTGAATTCCTTGCTCAGACTCATCCTGTTCGTAACATCATGGCTTCTGCTTCAATGGAAAAAGACCTGACTATCAGGCTGTGGTATGATGAATGAGTTGCTCGTTCAGAATGCGTAGTTATAGGGAAGCTGGATCTCAAGGATTAATCGATCAAGATTGAAATAGGAACAATTTGACTTGGGCGGTCCACAAAATATTTAGTAAAAATAGTCTCTCAGCCAAAATGTGGGCTTAACAGAAATTTCAACTTGGGAAAGGATGGTGACCTGCTGTAAGTATAGCCTGTCAGCGGTGCACTTGACACTACCACAAAAAGGCGGGCTGTGGACCAGTGGCGTGTATGGGGTTGTTTAAACTCCGCTCCACAGTATATAAGCAAGGTGTCATCACCTTTAACGTCTTACCAACACTTACAATCTCCCTATACTCTCAACCTCAGGCGAGTCTTCGATCGCTAACTTTTACATGTATGCGAGGCTGACGATGAGTTTACAGAATGCAGATTTTTGTCAAGACCCTCACCGGCAAGACCATTACGTTAGAGGTCGAGTCTTCTGACACCATCGATAACGTTAAGGCCAAGATCCAAGACAAAGAGGGGTATGTACGCACTTCAGAGACTGAGACTCACAACTGACGGTTGTGCCGCAGTATTCCTCCCGACCAGCAGCGTCTCATCTTCGCTGGCAAGCAGCTTGAGGATGGCCGCACGCTGTCAGATTACAACATCCAGAAGGAGTCCACCCTTCACCTGGTCTTGCGTCTCCGCGGAGGCATGCAGATCTTCGTCAAGACCCTCACGGGTAAGACCATCACGTTGGAAGTTGAGTCCTCCGACACCATCGACAACGTGAAGGCGAAGATTCAGGACAAGGAAGGTATTCCTCCTGACCAACAACGCCTCATCTTTGCTGGAAAACAGTTGGAAGACGGCCGCACACTCTCTGATTACAACATTCAGAAGGAATCCACCCTTCACCTCGTACTGCGCCTCCGTGGTGGCATGCAGATCTTTGTCAAAACCCTCACGGGTAAGACCATCACCTTGGAGGTGGAATCATCCGACACCATCGACAACGTGAAGGCGAAGATTCAGGACAAGGAAGGCATTCCCCCTGATCAGCAACGCCTCATCTTTGCTGGAAAGCAGTTGGAAGATGGTCGCACGCTGTCAGATTACAACATCCAGAAGGAGTCCACCCTTCACCTGGTCTTGCGTCTCCGTGGAGGCATGCAGATCTTTGTTAAGACCCTCACAGGGAAGACCATCACTCTGGAGGTGGAGTCATCCGATACTATCGACAACGTGAAGGCAAAGATTCAGGACAAGGAAGGCATTCCTCCTGACCAGCAACGCCTTATCTTCGCAGGAAAGCAGTTGGAAGATGGTCGTACGCTCTCTGATTACAACATTCAGAAGGAGAGTACCCTTCACCTTGTTCTTCGTCTTCGTGGTGGTTGTTAGATTTGAGCGTTGTCATGGGATGCCCCTGATTACGAATATTGTATCATTACCCGCATACTTCACATGATACTTCGAATGTGTACGTGTTTCGCGCAGTGGAATAACAAGATTTGCAGAACCTTGATCTGAGGTCGACCTTGTTGGATGAATTATATCAAGATGATAACTAGTATGTGCTACGATGGTGAGGATGGAGCGGCAGGAGCCTTTCTACGTCTTTTCCTTGTCCTGGTCGAGGCATTGCTCTGAGCTGCATCGGTCATTTCTACATTATTTTCTTCACGCTTATCATCCTGAGAATCACGTTTCCGTTTTTGCCCTGGTAATTCAGCACTGCTCAAGGGGGCACCCGATGACTCGGCCTTAGTTTTTTGCGAAGGTCGGGCAGATGGTGCTGTATTTGGATTCTTTTTCTTCTTGACGCTCAGAGGATTGGGCCCCTTTGGACCCTTCCTCTTCTTTGGCACTGGTTTATCTCGGGGTACGGTCGCAAGCTCTGGGGCGGACGGACGAAGGGATTGCTCCTCAGCCTAGCAGCCACGTTAAGTTCAGACTTGATTGTATTTTGACGACTCCTACCAGTTCCTTGGCTTTCAGCGTAGCTTCACTCGGTGGCTCGAGTACCATGACTGCGCGATTTATGTGAACTACAGGTACCGCGGGTATGATGCGCAGTCCATTGCGCAGGGATTGCGATTGCGTGGCGATAACATACCGGTGCTTGTTAGTGTCTCCTTGGTGAGTAGGTACGGTGATCAGATCCTGTGTGGAGGGACCATGGGGATGAGACGGAGCGCACCTACTACGCTCGAGAGGCATTCATCTCCAGGGATAGCCTCTCGATGGTTGCATTTGCGGCGTTCAAACGTCTTTGCGAGGTCAACGGCAGGTTGCCGCACCTTTCCTTGGAGATACAGCTCGTGCATACAGCATTGCGTGATCACTGAAAACATACTTGTCAGACGTTTAGCAAACGACATTGCGGGCGTGCGAGAAGACTCACTCGGCTTCACATTTCCCTGGAGTACTGTAGAAAACTGTTTGATGAGATCCAGCTTGGCATCTATGGCTATTTGGCACATTTCTGAGTCTACTGTAGAAGGACTTAAGGTGATGCAATTGTTCATCACACTAAGGTCATACCGAGAATCTGGTAAGGCTGTCTGAATCCAAAAGACATGGAGTACAGATGCATTAGTTTGCGGTATGTCTTCGCCCGCTTTTGACGCATGGTTGGTTGATCTGCTGTTACAATGTCACATACATTTGCACATATTGATTTTGATTCGTTGTTTGGTGTTGTTGTCCAAAGGCTTCCGACGACTCACAGCCGCCGAGTGTTTGACGCGTCCATACTAATAATGAAGATGGTGCACACCCTTTCGTTGTTGGGCCTCCTCCTCTCGTGGTCAAGGCAAGTCCAATAGCTTCGTCTCCACTAATCGTCTTATTGTTTTTCTCCAGTGTCATATTTGCCGTGGAGTTGCACGGGTACATACAATGGAATAACCTGTGTCCTAGTGAGTCCTCCGTATGGAATGCGTGTCAAGCACTTCACATCGCAGTAACTAGACTACGGGGCGCTCGCATCTGCCAAGGTCCTTCTCGATGCAGGAAAGATGTCAGGTCGCGTAACACAGAATGGAAACTTTTCAATGTAAGGCTGCGTTTCACTAGAGCACGTTTCCACCTCGAACTTGCGTAGACTAGATGTTCCCCCAGGGACATATGTTCTGTCCGTACTATCCCATGATTACTCGTTTGACCATGTAGGCCCTCCCTCTGCGGTCTCGTACAGTGCTCATGAGACCCCACCTAGGTTCGAATAGATGTCTCTTCTTCCGAGCCCCTGCCAGAAGTCCGACCTTACATATTCGGCACTCCCCTCCTTGCGACGACCTCCTTTAGCCTTCCCTATCCAATTGTGCTGACCCCCCGCCACAAGAATAGATACTTCTCGCCTCGCGAATCCTTCAATCTTCTGGGGATGTTCCAGAGCCCAATGATGATGATCATGGCATTGACTGGCGTGTTGATGCTTGCAATGCCCTATATCATAGTGAGCTTGATGTGTGTGTGGTTTGATTTCCGGCCTCATGCTCGTGCAGAAACAATTGGACCCAGAAACACTCGACGGACTGAAAGGACGACAAGAGAAGGCTGCGAGTTTAGAGAATTCCATCCAGAGTGACGATCCCAGAAGGTACGTATCCGTTATATGCAATCCACGAGTTGACATGCCTATCTACAATAGGCTATCTGCTCTGCTCTCTTCTGGCGAGGAAACTAAAGCAAGCACACCTGTCGTTAAGTCCAATACGGGCCCTTCAACGCTTCAACAACGGAAAGGTGGCAAAGGCAACAAACGCCGATGATATATACTCCTGCATTTCTCTCATAGAGGGTTAGAAGCAGCTGTGGTTAGGATATGATGTATTACATGCGTGAAACTACGTTGGGCGACCTGGTGATCTAGGCCGTGAGCTAGACCGAGATGGTAGAATACCACCGGCCTTGCCAATTCCAGGGTAATCGAAGACGCAACGAAGCACCATATTCCTGTGGAGATTATAGAGCTAGAGATTTGATAATTAAACTGAGCAGACCTCTGTTTGAACCGAGCAACTATTGCCTGGGGATTCTGCAAGTAGGCATGGGATGACTCCATGCTCAAGCTGAGGAGGAAAAGTAAGGTCTCATCAAGTCGACTGGCAAAAAAGGAACCACTTACTGGTCGTCAGAAGTGGATACAACTTCTAAAACATACATATTATCATTCGTGCTGTGGTCCTCATTGACGCTAGCGCCAGGTGCCACAGACACCTTGATGCCTGTCACAGCCATATGACTAGAAGTGCTCCGGACCGTTGGTATGTCTCCTTTCGCTGGATCATGATTTAACACAAGGACATGCTCGTCAGGATGACGCGACAACAGCACCAAAGGCGAGTCATCCGCATAGCGATATTCTACGTTTGCATGCGCGAGGGAGTTGGAACTAAGACCTGAGCTGTGCTGAAGAGACGAATGAGACACCAAGAGATAGTGGGGTGGTTCCGTAGAAGTCGTCATGTAAGTTCCAGCAACGTCCTAAGTAATGGCAAGCTATATGAGTATTGAATCGCATTTTACGTAATACAAAGCAATGTGCAAGGCCACCGTGACTGCAACTTGTGCAAGTTCGACACTTGTACACGTCTTTGAATGCGAAAACTATCACTTCGAGCACGGGCTTGGATATCTGACATCTGTTACGCACTCCTTGTTCTCGTCACTGGTTGTTTCTTTGCCATATCAGGTGCCTTGTTGTTGTCACAGGCCATCCGAACTTCACCTATCAGGTCTTGGACAAACAACTGGGATGCTGTGATCATTGCAGCAACATACTTACTTGTGGTAAGCTTTGTTTGCGAAATGTAGGTAACTTTCATGATGGCACCGTTCAATTGTCTGTAGTGCATCATATCCATCGCCCTCTGTGTGAAACGGCGAGTTACGGTGCGTCGCCGATTGCAGAGGATTGCGAAAACGCACCATTCGATCGTTAGGAAGGAAGTTCCTCAGGTGAGTCATGCCGAGCTTTCAGATGTAGGCGTGCGCTCTAAATATCCGTAAGCCCGTTCATGAGTATATTTCACAAGAATTTGCGCGTTCTTGTTTGGTGTCATATGAATCACAGCCATGCAACACAGTTCATAGTGGGTGGGGTAGACCAGGTAAGCATGGGATCAGGTTCTTCTGATCACGGGTTTCCAAACGCACGGCAGGCACTAGACTCAGCGGTATTCGTTTTCGACGCGCTCTTCTTGATACGATCGCGGAAATTGGTGAGCAACACTACTTCTGCACATTATGTGGTTTTGATCTGGTCAGACGCCCGAACGCGTCTCGTTATACCCAGTCATCCAGATTTGAAGCCCCATGCACGCATGCTGCATCATTTCAGGTTTCTTCTGCCACTCCTGCCAAAGGATGAAGAAGGCCTCTCGGAATTACATTACTACGATTCAGCCATACAACTTGCCCGAACGGTGGATAGGGAACCGACGGAAGAAGAATACCAGCGGGGAATGGATGCTGTTGCTTCCATTCTACAGATGTGCGTATCATTTCAGTGTTTGTCTAGAAACGCTGTACTGACCGTCGCAAACAGGTTGCGGGAGTGCAGGTCCGAGATGCTGGAAGACTCCAGGATATAAATGAATAGCGTGATGTCATGAAGGCCACGTCCTAGATGACATCTAGAGTCGATCCACATCCGCGAACTCCCTTTTCATAACATCTGCCATATCTAAATAGCATGCACGCAAGTACTTCCAAGTCTATCCACCTGCCACCCGATTTATCCAAACGGTAATAAACCTTCGCAGGGTAGTCGCCATCAACGAGAGAACATCCCTGAATGGTGCAGGCAGGCCACAGTAGTAATATATCCTCGATATCATCTCATGTATCACTGATTTTTTGAAGGCTTGGTATGGTCTCCTAGGTGAGAAATGACATAGCGAGCTTTACCATATAGTTGCGATTCTTCGCAGTATCACTGATGCTCGTTTCCATCATATACCTGTGTGCTGTTGGTAAATTTCCGCGTAAATGATGATCATGTTTCATGACAGCATGATAGTAAACGCGGAGCGCGGTTGAGCTTACCGCTGCATATAGTGAGATTTCTACCCATCGATCAAAGACTACTCCTCTGCAAGTAATATATAGAAAATAACGTATACGATTTCTCGTCACTACATGTATCTGGTCGATTTATGATCGATACGCATTTAATGTAGTCCATTGGCGTACACCTCCTGCCAACTCTTCCGCCCACTCCATGCTGTCCAGTATGACTCGACTTTTTCAGGAGTTGGCTTACCCAGCTCCTTCTCAATGGCACGCACACCATCTTTCCCCGGGTCTCCTCCACCAGCAACGAAGACAATGCGCGCCAGCCAGGCTGCAAGATGGAAGTCATCTTCACCAGGTTTGTCACCTCCAAGGAAACCGCTCTCCGGGAGGATGCTAGGGAGTTCTTCCAGAATGAAGGTCTTCAAGGTATCCCAGTGGGCCCTAGAATACTCGAAGAAGCTGTTCTTGACGTTCTCTGGTGCCTTGGCTTGGTAGATCGACAGAACCCTGCCGTTCTCAGCGATCTTTGCGTCATAAAACTCTCGGTGGTTAGTGCTCTGGGAGGCTCCTGAGTGCTTTGCCAATGCGTTCTGACCTAGAACAGATGAGGTGGGTTATTAGTAGACACAGGGGTAGCGCTGCGGTACTCACGGTTTTGTATGAACATCATAGAAAATCCAGACGCTTTACTTCGTAGTTCGTCCTCGTCACGCTGAAGTAAAATGTGTCAATGAGGTATACTCTATTTGCTTGCAATGCGTCTTACAGCTGACAGCATGGGAAAGTTTGGGTCGTACTGCTCTTCATGAATTTTGCTGATGAAGTCAGTTCCGGGGGTAACAGCGACACGGTTACTAGCATGGGCCACAAGGTACGATGTCACCTCAGCAGCACTGTTGTATGCCTTCCCTCCGGCTTCAAGGGTTGGTAATGTCCCTTTGGGATTCTGATAGAGTGGTAAGCGGTCAATATTTCCATTGGACGAAAACGTACGATCTTCAGGAACGCAGGAGCGAAGTTCTCGCCCTCCACAAGGTTTACGACCTTCTTCTCGATATCATCGCTAGCATATCCCAACTCGATCCTAGGATGGCATTAGCGTTGCTTGGACATGACATATCAGGTAAGTTGAAACTCACAAGGCAAGCTCTGGGACGGCAGCCCAGACGGAAGGACCGAATATGTAGAGGATGGGTTTGGACATTTGGTAATGTAAAGATAGATGTCAAGTTAGAATAGTACGAGAGAGAGCCGGGTACTGAGGATGCTGGTGGACTCAGGGAACGGTACCATCTTCTTATAATATTGGTCAGTCTGAAACGTGACGGACAGGCAAGTAACAAGTTACAGTAGTGATTAGGAATCACGAGCTCTGTAAGCTGGGTCTGGTTTAATATCTGACCGAAGCACTGCTGGAGCTGAGCACCAAGCACTGGCGCTGACAGGCTAAGGTATCAAGGGGTCAGGCTGCATCACGGCGGTGCAACGTGGTTTCGCCTCGGTTCAGAGTGTCATGTAGTCCGGCGAACCCAAATTCTCACTGCAGAGCTGACCGTCGTGGAACCTTCGAACTACTTCACCTGTAGCTACCTGAACTCGTTAGGACACAGGAGATTAGAACTTATTCAAATGCAGGCCGATGTCCTCTGTGGTTACGGAGTAGTCACCGACTGTGCCTTTCGTCAGATGAAGTGTTTGCTCCTAAACCGCGCTTCAATCGACGTCCCGCTAGGTATCAGACCAAATGCCAATTATATTAGTTCGATTACATTGCCAACTCTACTCGAGGCAAACCAAGATATATTTAGAAAGCAAAAATCTGCAGTGACGTTAGCAGATCGAACATCGGCGTTTGAGAGTGGCTTAATTACCTGGTCCTCCAATTTGCTGATTGTGCGAGGAGCAGGGTAATTGAGCTCCGCAAGGTGTTTTCTATAAAGCATTTGTTAATAGGTTGCTCAAATTCAATTACCAATTGCACCTACTTCATGGCAGTAATCATCGGCGGTGGACCTGCGTGAGAATCATCAGCTCTTGTAACTTGTCGGAATGAACACCTGACTGACCGCACATAAGAACCTTGATATCGTGATTTGACGAAGGCATGTGTTTTTCGATCTGGTCCTTGGTTACGAAACCCGTACCACCATTCCAACCTTGCGGAGGATTGTTGAGTACATAGTAAACCTGGAATCGCCTGGGGTGGGCCGCAGTGAGAGCATCGAGCTCCTTCTTAAGAAGAATATCCTCAAAGTTGACATTGGCGTAGATGAGGCTGAGCCTCGTCTTGTCCTCGGAGTTTTTCAAGGCAGCACGGATGATCTGTAACATGGGAGTAATACCGGTACCACCCGCAATCATACCGATCTCGCGAGACAGCGTGGGGGTATACTTGAAAGCACCCTTCGGACCACGAATGCGGACCTTGTCGCCAATCTTAAGAAGAGAGACGTAGCGCGAAATGTTGCCCTTTTCATATGACTGCAGCCCCAATAAGAATGGTTAGTCAAGTCCCAAGTGGAAACGGCGACTTACTTTGATGAGAAGGTCGAAGTGGCCGAGGTTGTCATCGCTGCTAGTCGGGGTATAGCTACGCATGACGTCCTTTCCGTTGATCTCTGCAGAGACCGAAATGTGCTGCCCAATGGGCAGGCCAAGGACATCCTGCGGGTGAGGCAGGGCAAACCGGTAGCTAAGCGGCCACAGCGGTCATTCAATGGTTAGCATGAAGGACATGCAATTGAACGCACATGGCGGTATTGGGCGATATGGCGATCTTTTCCTTGAGTGAGAACTCTTGCCAAACCTGAGGGTTCAGTACTGGCTTTCGTTCTACATTAGAAACGCGTTAGCGGAAAGACGTGCCGAAGAGGATGAAACGGTCATCCAGACCAGGAACGCACTCGACGAAGAGCCGAACTTGACGAAGATGAACACGCTGCTGGCCACCGCCAGTGCCAAAGCGATCACTTGTGTATACGAACTGTCGATTCCGAACGCCATTACAGTGCTGCTGGTATTGTCAGGGAACTGACTGGTATCGATTTTCGGTTCTAATCCAATAAGTATGAGTCGTGAGACGTCGTAACCAGCTTCTCTTAGCTTTGCTCGCAACCAGTGAAAGCTAAGTACAAGGACAGCCAACGTTGAAAGGAAAGAGACGGCAAATAGAGCTTGCTGGCAGTTCATGTTAATGTTTCATAAGCACCACGTCACCCACGTACGACTTTTGAGAAAATACGTACAAGGCAAAGACCGAGTCTTAGTTTACTTTCAAGTTGTTTCATCATGATCATAGTAACCTAGCTAGCTCATAAAATGCTTAACCAGACTTGTCCTGGGCCTATATTTAGGTGGTTTCTCTGCGCACAAGCTACGCACTCGAGTCTCATATCAATAGTGAACTAAGCCTTGAAGATACTGGTAATGGCGATATTCGATACTTGTCAGCATCTGCCACGCATTATCTTCGAGCACTAGGGAAAGGATTTATAGTATTACTTAGTATCCTGGTGAAATTTTGCGTGCATCAAGTGTGGTCCGAACGAACTTGAGATTCAAAACTTGGGAGTAAGGGAACGGTGTGAGTCAAGAATTCCTGGGGTATAGGGTAATAACTTAATGGTTGTTTTGAACTCGAGAGGATTGTCATGCAGGTCCGAGGACTGGAGCTGACATGCCAGCCGACTTGAACGGCTGGCACGGGAAGTGGCAACGAGGCGGAAGTAATAGTGGTCTGAAGAGAAAGTTGACGGTGCAAGTTTCGAGTCTTTTTGAGACCCTTCAAATAACACCAAAAATGGCGTGCCCTGTGGGATCACCGGCTCTCGTCAAGATAGGCTTATATTGATTGCATTGTCGGTATTCTTTATCTGCAGTGGTCCTGCGCCCAGTTTAGGATAAGCGGAGTGTCAGAAATCTACGCCACTGCCCAGGGTGTAGTGATAATCTTGTACCGCTCGGGCTCGGGCATCAGCGGCGAGCACCATGTCAATAGCAAGCCTTGACTGAGTACTACCGTCTGAGGCCACGGGCGGGCTCCGCTAGTGACAGACGTGACTACCAGAATCTTGGTCATTTCCCATGATTCGACGTAGAATAACCTAACTTAGAGTGAAAGTTAGATTATTGATTCAATTGAGACATTGAGTGAGATATTTAGTAGCCGAGCGAGTACCTCTCTGCTATTAACACTGCTCGAAGTTAGTGACTGGAGGATATGGACTGTTCCATTTTAGGTACTCATCGGGGGCGTCAATCGGTTTTGACTGAAGGTTCAAAGCGAAAGCAGATTGGGTGATAACGCATCTTGTATATTGCCAATAAGATCGGATCGATGCGCCGCAGTACTGACGGACTTTACAAAGAGATTGAGCTTCGAAAGGATGCGTGGAGCTCAGCCGAGAGCTACCTTTTCACAGCAATGGAGTGGATAATACTTAAGAAGACTTGGTCTGCGTGTTCTGAAGTTCCGAACACGACTCGTTTGGAGAATCGGAACTGAAATACATGAACGTTGAACGTCCGCCGACGTTATCTGGTAAAATGAAAGTAGCGGGTCCGGATTAAATGCATAAGCGATCGGAAAGGAGGATACCACGTTCCCCACACTATAGTGATGGGCTGTGAACACTGCGACCGCCATTAAAATGCTGCGAGTACACACAAGTACAAAGAGTTATGATTATTATGATTATGTAAGTGAATGGTAAGTCACTTTCTTCTTCTTGTACTCTCTCCTGGCATCCGACGGTTTTCTTATTTTCTTTATTCCTGTTCATCTTTGTGTTTTACTGATTTTTTTATATTTTCATAGCGCTTGAGCCTTGTGTTCAAGAACAACGGAGATCTTTTTGACTCCAACTTGATCAATCTTATCACCTGCAGGCAAGGTGACACGCTGGTCGTGTAATTCATATCTATGACTCCTGTCATGCAATCTACCGAAAATCAATATTTACCGCAGTTGGTCCAGGCGCCATCTATGGCCACACGCAAAAGATGTCCCCCCACAGCCCTCCGCATTGACACTCCTGCTGAACACAGTCCCCTTATAGTCCTCGCAACGGACGAGGCCAGCTCCCCATCTGTTCCCTCTTCTTCCGCTTCCGATTCCGCATCAAGCCCTCAGCTTCTTGCACATAAAAAACCAAGGTCACTCAGAAACATGAAAAATCTTTCAATTAATCTTTCATCGGCTCAATCTTCCTCGAATTCTCTCGTCTCGCCGCTCTCAGATTCCCTGAGTACCATTGACACACAGCAAGACATCTACCAACCTATTCGTCCGAGACGGCCGTCTGTGCTCTCCTTGCCAAGTACTGGCATCGCTACTGTCCTTCACCGAACAGATGAAGATGGTTCTCCCACCGCACCATATGTGAATGGTCCCATTCAAATTCTTCCCGGAATTTGGCTTGGTTCTGAGGACAACGCGCGAGATTGGCAAGGCCTCCTGGAGCGCCGGATCAAAGCGATCCTCAACGTTGCAAAGGAAGTCACGTCACCATTTGATTCTTCTGCTGCGCAACCCCTGCGACCCTTCGCATCTACTCCCAATCTCAGTTCCAAGACATCCAAGGCAATGCAATCCACGACCTCCACATATTACCCTGCCCATATTCCCTCTGGGCGTCCAGGCATGCATTACTTGAAGTTGCCTTGGTCTCACGGACAGGCAGATCTTGTTCATGAAGGATTTCCTACAGCCATGACTTTTGTAGATGCTGCACTCAGTCGTCATGAAGGCGTGCTCATCCAGTGCGTAGTTTCGTAGATGTGTTGGATCTATAACCCTCATGTTATGTGTAGTTGCCAGTGCGGCATCTCCCGCTCAGCTACACTGGTCATTGCTCTTGTCATGCGCGCCGCTGCCATGTGTTTACCTAACGTACCCCCTGAGGTGTGGCAGCTGAAAGGCATGCAAGCAGCATACTCATTTGTAAAAGAGAAAAGTAAGCATGTTGGTCCAAATATGTCGTAAGCAAGCCTCGATTCTCGCCACTTCGTTTCGATTTCAATGCGGTTTTAATTTCAGTCTCATTTACCAATTATTGGAATATGAAAAGGCCCTCAAAGGCGGCGGTCCCTCGCCCGCCGAATCAGACAAGTCTTCCTTCATCAGTGACGAAGAAAAGGAGTGGGGTCGCCGCCGTAACGCGTACGGTAATGATGAAACGGATGACAGAGACGATGCTATCCAACAGGAGGCCAAAGACCTCGACCGGGCTATGGAAGAACGCATAATCGCAAGGAAACCTTCGGTATCCTCTGTTGCTTCCTCATCGGGGGTCGGCATGGGTCCGGCGTGGCGCAGCCGATATGGGCGCAAGCGAACTGGCTCAGTTGCCAGCATCCATACTACCGGCAGCGTCCTGAGCGAGGATTTGGTTGAAGCGGACGAGGAACAAGAGCTATTAGGAATTGGTGGAGGCTTCGATGAAGCCACCGAACCTCGAAGAAGTCCGTGTTTGTCATTATCCAGCGAATCGCCTGGCACAAGCGAACCTAGTACTCAACCTTCGTCTTGTAAAGCTCCACTCCATCGCCCACCCTTACGAAGCAAATCGTTTGATCCCGTGCCTTCGGCACCTGCAACGAAACTAACATTCAATATTCATCAAACTCCCGGCACGGCAGTACAATCGACTTTCAACTTCCCTGCGGGCAAGGGCAAGCGGCGACCGCCGCCGTTGGGCATACTACCCCCGGTACCCCCTTCCCCCATCACACCTATCGCTGTACAAGACAGTCAAGAGACACCTCGTACCCGTCGCCGGACGCCGGCCCGTAAACCAGCGCCACCCCCGCTCAAGCTCCGCGAAAACGCCAGTCAATTTGTATTTCCCCCGAAAACTACCCCATCACGACAACTTATTGCTGCGACGCCCTCTCAGACTCTGTTCGTCTTCCCACCTTCACCCAAGCATCTCACGACCGCATTGCGCACGCCATCTACTATGACTGTAACATCCAATGTACAGAACACCGCCTACCCGTTTCCATCACAACACACCCCTCGGGTGTCCACCTCTCGCTCTCATGGTCGTTTGAGGTCTTTCATTGGCGTCGGGACTTCGGTGGCACCGACAACGGCATATTCTCGTGTAGATGCACGAGGTTGGGTTGGATTGGAGTAAACGACACTGGCCTGTGACCTTACAACCGTGCTGTTTCCTTTGCGTTGGCAGACAGGCATAAATGACGTATGTTGTATCACCCATCTTGATTTGTTACGTAGGCCGTTATTCGCATTTCGCATTTCGTGTTTGTCCTTCAAGTTGTTTCCATCTTTGTGTTCATTGTTTCATCTTCGTGTCATTGTTTCATCTTCGTGTCCATTGTTTTCATTTGGACTGTCAGCATTTATTATTGCAACTTTCGCACTTGTGTAACATTAGCTATATCGCAACTGGCCTTCGGAATCAAGTATGATGAATGAACCTTCAATCATCTATTCATCCGAACAATCTCCCGACACTGTTCTTCATGGCGCTGCCCAGGATCTGCCCACCTATGCCCCCCATTCCCATGTTCCATCCGGAAGACGCAATACTATTGGCCCATCTTTGTTTTGCATCCCTGTCTCTGAAAGTGACGTTTCTGAGTATCGAGCAACGCAAAAAAATAATAAAACTGACGCATATGTGAATCCAACGGCATTGGTAAAATTGAAGACAAGCGCTAGAGCCACAATGGGTATAAACCTGGCCAGGTGATAAGCAACGAGCTGAGCGGCACACTTCTTGCCAACTCACGAGAGGCTGAAATGGAGAATGGAGACTATAAAGAGCAGCAACCAGAGTGCTGGAAACACGTAAAGAGCTATCTGCAAAGTTGTATGTGCAGGTGATGAGCCTGAATGTCAGATGTTCTGACTTACCCAGAACATCCTATTTGCACCATGGTTAGGGTAAACTCGACCTTCGCTGATAAAAATGATACGCACTTGGCATCCACTGGATTTGCTGGTCTTGTTGGCTAGCAGCGAGGAATGAGACAGTTGGCAGCAGAAAGTATGTAGAATCTCTCGTACGTCTCTGCTCTCGAATACCCAATAGCTCTCCCCGTCGTCATCCACCTGGTTCCAGAAACGCAGACCAACAAGGGTACGTCCAGCAACGTTCTTTACACACCTTAGTCGGTTGTCAGAGAACGAGCCTCGCGAAAGCTTACTCTACAATTCCAGAAGTCCATTGCAAGTAAGACAACTACCACTACCGTCTACGCGCAAACGATGAGGAACGAGGCATTCAAAAGGTCTGCCACTTACAGAGAGGACATAATTGTTTGTCAACAGTCCACATAAAATGTACACGGCGATGGCGGATGTCCTGAAGAAATAGAGGCAAAACAAAGCTGCAGGATGTGCAGACTGAGTGCAATTGAGAATCAGTCTGACGAGTCAACAAGTTGCTTTGGATTCAGACCTGTCTCAATATACCAGCAATGCCTGTGGGTCGTTGTTAAAGAGAATTAAAACAACATATTATGGACGTGCAAACCTGATTCTGCATCGGCTGGAGCAGAGGCCAGGTTATTAGGTGTCAATACTACCGCAGGTCGAGTATTGGACACAGTGTTTCTAGATGGAGCCTGCGCCACCGAAGGATCATCAGGTTCAATTGTCTGTAACAATGATGAGTTCGTGCTCATTGTTGGTGAAGCTCAAGAGGCGTGGTCTGACGATCTACGATTCTACATGATCATGTCCCTGACGGTACTAGGGTATGGTTGTGTTTGTTCACAACAGCGTGTTCAGTTACCGGCACCATTAGTACTAGTAATCATGAACGAAACACTGCAGGCCAACGAAGCTACTCCTCTGCTATCAGTGTCACCTGGCTTCACGGAGCGTCCCGCTATACTTCCTGTGGTGCGTCGGTACCGGTTGGGAGGCTCGAATGCCGATGATACCCTGGCTTCGCAATATAGGTTTCCATCTGAAGCAGAACGGATTGCATTTTTGTTACTCGTCCAACTACATTATAATGAATCACAGTACAATGTCTTGAACGACTCTTCAGATATCTGGGAAAAATGGCAACATGCCAGAGCCGCCTCAGCTGCCGCTGAGGACATCGGACGACGTGCTAGTGAAACATTGAACCAATTCCTCCTAAATCACAGTAGTTCTTCTGCCATCCAAACTATATTTTGGACAGCCTTCCCGCTGGAAGATACGGGGCATACAACTACAAGAGGTGAGCGCAATATCTCGAATGATTGATTCACAATTCATGGTTGAGCAGTAATTGATATGTTGGCGGAGGACCATATTCCTCCGGAGCTTCTCACACACCCCATCGTAGACGCCGTAGTCATTAAGTGTTGGAAGTATGGGATAAAAGCCGGATCCGCGCAGGATCACGGCTTAAGCTTAATAGAACACTTTGATGCTCTTTCGACACCCAGGTGCGTGGCCGCAGATACGAATCTCGATATGTGGTCCTCACACCATTTACAGAGTTCTACATTTCATTGACGTTTTGGGCCGACTGGTCTTTATGGGTTCACTTATTCACTACTTGCTATATCCACCACACTTTCATATAACCCTAGGACAAAATGAGCAAGGCACTCGAGAGATGATTCTCACTTTCATGTCTGCTGCATCCCTCGCTCGACAGTGGTCAATCCATACTCTACCAGCTATGCTTGTATTTCCCGCATTCGTCATGACCCTTCCATCTGTCCCTTTACCTGGAAATGTCTCATTCTCTGTGCTTCACATTGCCCTCCTACTCCAGCTGGTTCTTCTTCACCTTCCCAACTCTCCCAGCTTACCCACCGCAATGAAACCCGAGAGCACCATACCGCTCTCTACGTTGCTTTCGCGCGGAGCAACTCGCATCGTCATACCGGTCACCCTCTTTTTCTTTCCGGTCCTATTACTCGCGACATTTCTCGTATCCGCCTCGCTCGTCGACAATCCCCTGTTAGTGCTAACAAATTCTCTGGAAGTAACTCCGATGGATAGTCGATTTTCATTCTTCATCCTCTTCATCACTGTCATTATGCTACTACTGGGTGGACTCGGCGTGACCTTGGCGATGTTCCCAGCCTTGGCATCATCAACCGCCTCAACAAGTAGATGGGATCGCTACTCACGAGAAATCGGGTTGTACGCACGCAGGTCATTTGTGGAAGCCCTTGTCCGGTATGAACCTTATTACTTTCCGGTTCCATTCAACTTGCTCCAACTTGTTGTGCGAGTGCCTTGTATGGTCTTCTCTGGGTTGGGACATCCAGTTACACCGTACATAAAGTCAATGGAGAGAGTGCTATGGAGAGTCATTGTAGGATTAATTGGAGCTGTGATTTCTGGCTTCTGGCTGTGGGGCCTAGCGTGATTGCACTCGTCGATATGCGGTGTCGGGCATTATTAGATCCTGGTATTTGGATTGTACTTCCACAGGCAGACACCGGCGCTACTTAGGTACATAGTCTAGTGTATGGTGCGCGTCACTTAGCCACCACTACTTTTGAACAACGTTCTCACCCCCTTCAAAAAAAATCAGATTTTTATTTCCTCTTGTAAAAATGATCCTTTCAATGAGTAGAGTAAAGCTACAAGAGGAATTTTTGATTGAATCAAATCTGAGCGAGTTTTTTAAAAACAAAAGGGATGATTTGGCCACCTAAAGTACTATGACTCCCCATCAATCGAAAATGCGAGCCCATGTCTCCGGAATACGTCTGTGAGACTTGTACTTTGTAGAGCTGAATTGCTTAACCTGAAACTGGGCATCCTTTGTGCTCAGACCCGTCCGATATCAGCTCTATTGGGTTAAGCTCCCTGCCACTGAGTTTGGACGGCTCCGATGTTTGTTCCTGCAACTCGGAATAGGTTTGTGTGGGGGTGGCTTGAAGAGTGGAGTTACTGTGCTCGGCAGTTGGAGCTGACCATCGCGCGGCCCTAGCGTGAGCGGCTGCTACCTTCCTGTGGTTCTTGGGCATCAGAGACTGGTAAAAACAACATCTGCACCGATAAATTGTCGTTGTCTACTGTAGCGCTACATGTTTCAAACTAGGGCTCCGTGAAAAACTACCGAGTTTTTGACAGGTTTTTAACGAGTCGATAACTTGGGGTTGATATTGGGGTGTCAAAAACTCGTCAAAAACTAATATATATATGTATATGATCCCGGGAACATAGCCTATCGAATTCTCCATCTGAACATCCGAAATCACCGAAAAATTGTTAAGATATGACCGACGATCTGTCAACTACTGTCCAATTGAGCGTTCGGCTCAATGATTGCAACAAAAATTTACCTTGATGAGCTTCTTCGAGGACATTGGGCGCAACAACGCACAGTTGAGCCACCTCCGAACGGCACTCGCACAACTTCCACATAGTATCCCCCTCGGAAACTCCAAATATAATTTTGAGCACTATGCTACGATCAAATTGTCGCTTATGCCAAGGGAGCCTGGCCATTCAACCGCACGTTTACGGACAAGGCAAATGTGGTGAAGTATTGGCGTGATTTCTTAGACCATGACAATGCAGATGTTCTCGCGGTACTGTGCAATCTATCTGACTGGTGTCCATCTTGCTCACTCACAACTCGCATTCGCAGCACTTCGCAGTGAAAATTTTCGATGGCGGACGAGCGTACAGCGTCAACGATGAATTGGTTGAACTCCGCGTTACGAAGCTCCCTCAAAAGTTCTACCATTGTCAGTCAGGTTCAAGTTCGGCAGTGGGCTTTGATAGATCCTGATGGACTTACTATCAGAGAAGCCGGTGGAAGGGGCAAGTAGGACACCTCAACTACAGGATAGCACAGTTCCAACGCCTCCGGGAGGGCCTGTACAGTGGGTATTTGCATTACCGTAGCGAAAAAATGTCAAAATGACTTGAAAAAAAACGCATTTTTTGAGTGTGTCAAAAACTGGTCAAAAACTAGTTTTTAACTCATGTCAAAAACCCCTCGAGGGTGGGGGTGAGTTAAAAACTCGTCGTTAACTCCGTGGGTAGTTTTTCACGGAGCCCTATTTCAAACTAATATCGAAGCATCCGTTGGAGTTGCACGCGCAGAACTACGTAGGGTTAGGGTTTAAATTTTTCTCAGACCGATTTGGCCACTGTTCAAAGGTAGTGGTGGCTAAGTGACGCGCACCATAGTCCATACCATTTATGGGACAATTACTCAAATTGGAAGTGACGCGGTTCAGACGAGAGTCCTCAACTCTCATGTCGAAACGGAAAGCGGAACCCTCCCAACGACCTGCGAAACGACGGAGGGGAGGAGTCCCTACCTTCGGTGCAGAAACCGAGGATGACCGGGTCAATCTCGCATCGTCTCGGAGCCTCTCCACAGCATCTGCCTTTTCCACTCGCTCCGTACCATCCACTGGCCCGATACCTAACCTTTCCGCATTATGCGCGCGCTCCTTTGTCGCAAATCTGCGGGCACTACACGAAACTCGTGATGATTGGGAAATCACGCTCAAGTGGCTGAAACTCATGCCTGACAATCTGGTACCTAAACTGTTCGCTATGCTGAGATCCTCCTGTCCACAAATACTTACCAACGCAATGATAACTTCCGTATGCATATTCGTTGCTCCCCGATATGTTGCTCATATTCTGTTAGTATTTTCTACGAGGCCCGTCGATCGTACTGACCAGTGATGTCCCAGCAGTAAACAAAATCACAATTTTGGCTGTTGCTGGAGCTGGCAAATCACTGCATGAGTTACACCTTACGGGATTCGTTAAATTTGCCGATTCTGTCTTTGCAACTATCCTGCCTTCCATGCCATCCCTCAGAGTATTGGTTCTTCGGTGAGTGTAATTGACGACTATGGTTGAGAGGCCCTGATTCTCTGCAGCGGTTGCGCCAAAGTGGGGTCCGCCACTGCGGAAGCTGCTGCAAGGTCTTGCCCCTTGCTTTCTACCGCGAACTTTAATTACACTGCTGTTCCGCCCGTGGCACTTGTCCCACTCCTGAAAAATTGTCCTGACCTGAAGGTGCTAAAGCTTGCTGGAATACCGAACTGGGTGAGTAGCTTGAGCTTTCTTTCGACAATTGACTTATCGCAGCCTAGACCGATGCAACCTTCGCCAAATTATCTTCTGCTGTATTTCAAGACGAGAGTTTCATACTGACGAGTATACAAACATTGAAACTACGTCAATTGAGCCTTTCAGAAAGTTCAATTAATTTCTTTTTGGCCCGCTGTCCGAACCTCGCCCGGCTGGACCTCTCCTTCACGCACGTCCACCGACCACTGCCGGTCGTATTAGCAGAGGCGAGAATTGAAAAGCTGTCCTTGACATCAACTGCGATTTCCAGCGTTGATGTTGTGGCGCTCATCTCTAGCCTCCCCCACATCAAATCCCTGGCTCTCGGGGCCCTTGGAGGTGGGCAGGGGTCTTCGGTAGCTATTGGGAACACCTCTGCAATGACGATGACGGACCAGACGCTGGAGTCATTGGCAGATGTGTTGAAGGACTTTGGGCAACTCGAAAAGATCAGTTTGGTCGGAAATACAAAATTAGGGGCTACCTCGCGTCATAGTGGAACCCTGGAGTACTTCATTCAATGCGTTGGAAGGAAGTGCAAGGTTGGTTCCATGGTTTTTTTTTGAGCTATGTCATGTCTGAGTTCTGTATCAGTATCTCAACTTGTCAGGTGTGCATCACTTACAGTCCCTTCATCTTTCTGGGCTCTTGCCGCAAGATGCCGAAAATCAACCACCCAGACTTGAACAGCTCCTTCTCAACAACACTGGTGTGGATGATGACGCCGTGCCTTATTTGGAGTGTTGCTCAAATCTTGTGGTGCTGGAACTAGCGGGTACAAAAATAAGCAGTAAGTGAATGTGTTATCTTGGGGTTTTGACTTGTGCTTGAAGTGTTACAGGTGCTGGTCTCTTTTCTGTCATTGACACCTGCCCTAAATTACAAGCGTTGAACCTCACGAGCTGTAGAAGCGTAAGTGTGACTGATAGACGTCATTTTTTCGAGGTGCGTGTAGCTGGAATAAGACCTACATGATTGGCAGTATTAATATCAAACATATATAGGCGTGGAAGCACAACTCGGAGGAAACTTGATGTTTTCCAGCGGGGAGGAGTTCACCCACCATTAGTGGGAGTCAGACGGTTTATTTCCGCGGAACCAACCATTCCGTTCTTCCGTATGTCACACACTCAATGCTTCAGTCCTTACAATGAGTGAGAGCAGAATTTAGCAGGGCGCATTGTCATTGGTGATTGTTACATAATTTCCATAGATAGTATGGATTTATTTACATCCTTTTGTCTCCTATGTTCTTTTGTGTACGTGTTGTTTGGTTAGCTCTAGCTTGTATTCTTTGTTAAGTATATCGCCCAACCTGAGGATGCTGTGATATCAACTACTATTACAGTGTTAGCGCCCTTCATCCATTTGTTTCTCTTTTGCCTAGTCTTCTAATCCTAACGCTCGTTACCGCTCGACATTCATTCATGTTTCACTATTCTGGACGTCTTGCTGGACTTGACGAAATGGTCTTGAAGATCAGCGCTCCTTCTAAAATTGCTTCTACGGTATCAACATGTACCCTCGACGGTGAGCCGTACCTTAAGGTTAGGAAAGTCAAAAAGCGCAAGGCTGAGCGGGCATCTCGTCCACCCCTTGCGGACAAGACACTACCGGCGGTGAATCATGCTGTATGTAATAAAAAACCTGCTCGCGGGCTGGCCTATTAATATCACTGAATAGTCAATCCAGCTGCCCCACGCTCCCTCAAGGATACAGTGTAAATCATTGGAAAAGCCTGTTGCTGTTGAGAAGCCCCCCGAGGAGCAACAGAACATTGTTCCTCCTAACCAACCCGTTACTCACGTCAACCGCTCACGGCGCAATATTGAGTCATTTCGCCCCCTTCCTCCTCTGTCATCTGCATCCACACTGCAGCTACCTTCCTTTCTCAATTTTTCAACCACACATTCGTTAACATCTCCTTCGCCTGCAAGTCAGTGTCGTAACGAGTCTTCCCACTCCCTCCCAGCCAATATCTTGTTCCGCCATTCATCTAGCCACATCTCATCCACCCGACGAGTGGTTGTTCGTAAAACTAAGAACACAAAGGTGTATGAAGGACCCCATTGGATTCCCGCCTTCCACCATCCGAATAGTCCTTATGTTCCATGGTCACCTGCCGTACGGCATCGCATTCTTCCTCCATTGATACCGGAATCACCCATCTCACCTCTTTACTCACGTAGTGGAGCTGTCGCACCAGAGCCATGGGGCTCGCATTCTACCACAGAAACACAGACGAATGTGGAAAAGGGTTCCAGTTCGTGGAAGAGCTTCAAGAAATCGGTCAAGAGTGGCCTAAAGAGTGTCAAGAGCGTTGTCTCGCGCATTGGCAAGGTTCCGAAACTCTCCCGCGGGCGTTCAGATAAAAAGATGATAAATCGCAGCGGCGACCCGGTCCCATCTGCCAGTGACTACATGATGTTTGCGAAGAACTCATCCCCACTTTCCCCGGGTTCTCTGACCGAAGATACCCCCGCCACACGAGTTTCGTTCGGTAGTCTTGTATCATCAGATTCTGTTACCCTAGCTGCATGGCTAGCTGAACGACATACGACCTCTAATACTTCATGGGAGTCTCCTGGGATGTCAGTGGAAGAGTATGAGATGATGGGTAGTTGGTTGGACTTGCGCGTCGGAGATGGGGAAAGGGTTTGTGGCGTTCTGGAATGTACTGCCCATACTCCAAACGGAACACCCGACGCGCTTTGCCACGGACTGCGCGATTTCCATTCAGCAGTGCCTTTCGACGCCACAGTTAACGAACATGTCAAAGCACCTGTGCCGAAGAAGACGACATCGCCTGTATCCACGCTGGACCTCAATTCGTGGCCACATCCGGGCCCGTTTTACTCCCTTCCGCGACTGCCATCGCAGGTACTTGTCATGTCCACGAAGGAATTGAAGACCTTGGACGACCCGAACGTTGAACATTTTTTGATGTCCAAAAAATCCCGTGAATTAAGTATGCCTGGTGGATGGGCGTTCACATCATGACTCTAGATTCTTCTGTTGACTGGTGTATTTTGTCACAAAACCTAGCATTGTGGTGTATGTGTACTTGTTCACCCACAAGTGTACTGGATGGCACGCAATTTTATTCTACGGGTTTGTACCTCATTGATAATAATTGTATAGGCATGTATGTATATTTTATACCTGTAGTCACTGTAGTTTTGTTCATAATCTTTATTTCGTCCATCTGCTTCCGACGAAGAACAAGGTAATCACTACGGTGGACATCGCCTTGTCCGGAAAAGGAAGGTGTTGAGGATGGTCAAACCACAAACAATGCCGTCGAAGCGTGTGGATACGCTTAAGTTGCGCTGTGGCCGCTTGTACTTCAACGGCAGATTATAAGGACAGAACATAATTAGACGATGAGAATCACATATCACACCCTCCAACATCTTCATTCCGTTCCCCTCCTTGCATCTAACCTCGCTTCCTCATGACCTTAGCACGACAGCAAACATCACAGTCGGAGGCGGACCCAACCTTGCCAGTCTCTCGGATGCCATCTCCGAGTTCAAGCTGCCATGACGAGAAATCAGTAAATGGACTTCCTACATATGCCGCACCATCCATCTTTCCACACGACTACAACGTGCCATCAGGCATAGACCACACCTCGCAGTTCTTCGAAATCCTTACTGCGCCCTACCGTCCTCCAGCTTCCCTGAGTCCTTGGCGGCGTATAACGCCACGTCAAGAAGATGTGGAGAGGTGTGCAGCAATGGTAGACTGGGGCGATACGGACGAGGACTCAACGCCACCAGAGGGGTCCTCTACTTTGCAGCGCGAGTCTTCATTGCACGAAAACTCAGCTAAGGATATCCCAATATATGTGCCACACGGTCCATGTGCATGGGCAGCTCGTGAGGATATCCAACAAACAGAGACATTGTTATCCCTACGACGTGCGTTTCTCGCGGAGCTATTTTTGTTCGTCTTACTCACAATGATTTAGAGGGCTCGATGTGCTCAGCCTATGTACAATCCGGTGTTATTGCCGGACAAAAGATCACTTTTATCAGTCGACGGTGAGCAAATGTCTCAAGTGATCATTATTATTGACTTAACACGACATAGATGGAATCTGGACAAGCAAGCGGATTGGATCGGGTTTAATTCCGAGGTTCGTGCACATAATGCCAATCATTCGTATACTGAACGTCTGTCTTTCAGATGACTCTCTACAGCTCAGAACAATACCTGAAGCCCCTCCAAGGCGTCATCGTTCCTCGCATCATCGGTGTTCACATCCTGCCAGGCGCTATCAGCATTGCTATGGAATTACCTCATCAAAGTTTTTGGATTGAGGCCTCTCCTACCATGCCCGATGTCCTCAAAGAACGTGCTATGCAAGGGCTTGAAATGCTCCATTCGCGAGGTATCCTCCATGGAGATATCGAACTTCGTCACGTTCTTATCGGCGGGGATGGTGCTGTTACATTTATCGATTTCCAACTAAGCCGAAGTACCAACCCCGACGAATCTGTGGGTTTAGAGAAGGCGGAGGACGAAGAATTTCGCTTCGAGAAACGCTTGCTTGCATTCAAGCTTGACCTCCACGGTGCTCGGGCCAGTGAAATTCAGAAGACGGAAGCTTTCGTACAACGTACTAAGCGAAATAAACGGAGAGATGAGTTGTGGAAGCGTCGGGCCCAAGGAGCTCGCACGGGATACATTCCGCCTTATGAAGAGGAGCCTGAGGAGGAAAAGATAGTACCGCCTGTCCACCCCCATGACTTGCAGGACACCTGGATTAAGAATTCAGATTCTCCTCCAGTACGCGTCGTTGTACCTGGACAGAGCAAAAAAGAGGTGGAGACTGCTATTCGGACATTCCTCGAGTCTCTGGCAGAATCCCGTCCTGACCAAGCGCTTTCTCGACCACTACTTTCGATTGGGAGCAGTGCAGAAGTGTCTGAAGCGGGACCATCGACGTCATCTATCACGTCGGTACGCGCGATCGACTTTTCTCCGACTGCAGTCCACGAATCGTCACCCTCATTGGCGGGACGAAAGCGTTATAGAGAATCTTGCCCCTCTCCCTCCCCCCACGCCTCTCTTGCTTCATCCGACTCCCCACCTTCAAAACGCGTTCGTCGTGAAACAGAATCCTCGTCGTCTGCTAGCGTCTCCTCCACTGTTCATTCATTGCCAGCAATACCATTCGTCAATCCTCGCGATCATGTACACATGTGGTATTCAGATCTCCCAGACGATGCTGAAGTTCCTCCCCCTCCCGTTCGTGTTAGACCTCTCTCCCTGAGCGCCGCACTTATTCGGCAACAAAACATTGAAGTTTGTCGTGAGGCCGGGCTTCCTCACGCTGAACTGGTCGAGAGGGGCGAGGTTTCACCAATAAACGCGGTTCGTCACCATTTGCTTGCCAAGAAACGTAGAGGTATAGCACGAGGCAATCTACTCCGGGAGCGGGATCGGGACGGATACTCGCCATACGTCCACCATATAGAGAGGTCACATCAACGAGAACGCTATCTTGCCCTGAAGGAGCTGAAGAACGGGTACATAGCAACCTGTGCAAATGTCCCCAACCTGTCAGATATCCCAATGCAAGCAGGGGATCGCACATTTTCTGCGTTGCTCCACATGAACGAGCACAAAGATATACCAGAAGGACCCAGGATATTGCAGCGGGGAGAATACGAACTCATACAGGATACCCGCAGACAGGCTATGATACTCACTCCCCACCGAGGGGTACTAAAGCGACGAAGAGAAGATGACCTAGTTCAGAACTTCCTGCCTGCGATGAATTCCCCTAATCCTGCGGTGCCTGTCGCTGATACTGGCAGCACTATTCCTCCGCCTCGCAAGAAAGCGCGCACCAAGGGCCCATCCCGCAAACTAGCACCTGCGCTTATACCCCTGTTCCGCACATCAGATCCTGGGTCATTTGAGAGCAACAAGACAGCAAAGGTCAACCCTCTGCATGACCGTAGTCTGGCTAGGCGTCGTTCACGATCACATCCTGCATCGGGTATCGATTTTACCCCACCATCGTGGCGCGGTCTATCCGTTTGGATGGGATCTTTAATGGGCTGGTCGCAGTGAATTACCTTGTAACATTCTCGTGGCGTATACATTATTCATACCCTCGGTTTTCGGACTTCGACTTTCTGTGTAATATCTGTTAATTCAAAATTTTAATACGAAGGAATAATTATATTCCCTTGATGGGTCTCGGGGAGACTAATTCGAATGAGAAAACTTTGCCCCGTAACGAGAAGATCGGACCCAGTGTCGGAACTAATTTTTGAGTGCTGTCAAGTCTACAACTCCAAAATTGCTCGTGTGACCATACTTTGGTATACACACGCTCAGCACAACCGTCGACATGTAGCTAGTGCCATGGCGTAAATGTCAAAGGGGATTTCTTCGACAGCAATGTCAAGACCATTGGATGGGACTAGATAATTACAACGATTTTCATTGGCTGACTACAAGTAATCATGACTCGAGATGCTCGATCGTGGGACAGACCACACGCTCGGGGCCCTCGTATTATGTAAGCCGACTCTCCCTTCACCACCATACAAATGTCCCCACATACCATGATGCATGTCGTCAAGGGCTAACTCACGATCAAACTTCAAGCTTCAGCTTCAAGTGGGACCGTTGCCGTGACAAGTTGAGGCTTATGTGACGACTGTTCATTTATTTTCAAGTCCGTGAGGCTACACCTCGAACACCAGGCATTATCAACAGAGAATCTCTAGTAGCAGTCTGCATCCTTGAGTCTTTTCCGTTCAGGCAGTAAACCATCTAATATTATCCATTTGCAGGCACACCGCTTGGCATAAGTAGCACATGCTTGAAATCTGTCGCGGCGAGTTTATACCCGTAGTAGGCTGTTCGCCTCGAAACCTTTGAGGGGTACCCACAGGAACTGCGCTCGCCCCGATGCCCCAAATTCATCTTACTTTCCTTAAACGTCTGATATCCAGGCTGAGGCTGTAATCAAGCTACGGTACGGCACTGCAAATTCATTGCCAAATGTGACATGTGACAGTTCCGCGGGCGTGATCGCAGCTGTCCAGGCTTGCTCCAAGATGCTGCAAGATCCGCTGCGTGGATCATAATTATAGGCATGTCTCCACGCGCACGGGCCTCCATACTATGTATGTCAACCTGATCCATCGATCTCAGTCGTGCGAACGGCAAATTGCACATGAATTTGAAGAAGGGCCATTTGCCAAGTCTTTGCCACATGTCTCGACCCTGTAAAATCCAATTACCACTAGCTGTAGTAGTAGCAGCTGAAAATAATTGATCAACATCATGAGCAGAATTGGCCGGCAAGAGCAAAATTTCTAGATGGATTTGGTTATCGACAGTCCCAATGGTAGGTTTCCGACTAGCCCATTTACTGGGAAGGAAACTTGATTCGTTTCTGATGGAGATACCGTGGCTGTCTTCAACTATGATGGAGATACAATGTTGTACGTTCATGCTTTTACAGACTGCTATCTTCTACGGATACATAGCAACCACTAACCGACGCCAATGAGCCAGCTGCCTGCCTCTGATTGCACAGCGCTACTCCTGACATACGTGCAATGTAAGGATAGGTTCTAGGCTCCCTCCCTCCGATGCTGTAGATGCTATTATGTGTACAGTATACCCCTTCCAGCAACTTCTGAGCAAATTTACGGTAGGAGGAGCATCGTTGTAACTATACGGTACCTGACCTACCTAATTCCGTTCGGTTAATACTCGGGTATGTCACTTATCGGATGCGTGGCGTTTCAACAGGTCCCATTAATGTCCGTACCGTAAGGAGGTCACTGCCACGGCTCCCCCAGACGCTCATATATCTGTGAGCCGTGGTTGGCTTCAAGTCTTATCTCTTTCCTCCTACCTTCCAGTGAGCGAGCGCTTACCACAATGGGTACCGAAAAGACAGACCCTACTGCTTATCACAATAGCAAAGGCGAATTCTCTGATGTCTCAGATCATGATGGAGAGTCTGTTCAGTCCCCCCCGCGGCACACCCTCCAACGTAAGCTCAAGAATCGTCACATTGCTATGATCAGGTGTGTTTCATTTTTCTTCTTTCTTCTGGTGAATTCTCATCTCCGTCAAGTATTGGTGGTGTCATCGGTACTGGTCTTTTTGTTGGGACCGCAAACTCTCTGGCGAATGGAGGCCCCATCGGTTTGTTGCTCGGCTATGTGGTCATGGGCTCCATCGTCTATTCCGTCATGGTCACTTTGGGAGAAATGGTGTGCTTGCCGCACATCCCAGATGCAGATCACATATCTGATATTCATTTCCGTAGATTGCTTTCCTGCCTATACCTGGTGGTCACATCAAACTGGCCGAGCGCTTCGTTGACCCTGCATTCTCTTTTGCAATGGGTTGGAATTATTGGTATAACTGGACGATTGTCTGTATGTCCCATTCTTCCTCGTTCATTTCTTGCAATTACTGACCTCTTACTTTTTAGCACCTGGTACTCGAGTTTAATATATTTTCTTAGCGCCCCTCCTGACATTTGTCGTCCCAGCCGAGCTATCTGCTGCTGCATTATTGATGAACTATTGGAATCAAACTGTCAACGACTCAGTATGGGTCGTCATGTGTCTTGTCGTCGTTCTCACCATTAATATGCTCGGTGCTGGCGCTTACGGCGAGGCGGAATTCATCTTTGCGTGCGTACCGAGGACTATATCCCGATCTCGTATTCTGATATTACTACAGATCCATCAAGGTCCTCACAATCACCGGTCTTATCATTCTCGGTATAGTCCTCGATTTAGGAGGTGGCCCAGACCACGACCGCATTGGATTCCGTTACTGGAAAAATCCTGGACCGTTTGTTCAGTATAATAACATCGGAGGTGCCAAAGGACGATTCCTTGGCTGGTGGGCTGTCTTGACACAAGCTGCTTTCTCGTTCATTGGAACCGAGATTGTTGCTGTAAGTTATATTCTAGGCTTGTCAATCCACCCCTCACGAATCTCACCTAGATTGCTGCTGGAGAAGCGAAGAATCCTCGTCGTACCTTGCCCAAAGCCATCCGTCGAGTATACATCCGTATATTGCTTTTCTACATCGGTGGAACACTTGTCATCGGTCTGCTTGTACCATCCAACAACCCATATCTTAAATTGAACAGTGGAACTGCCGCGTCTCCATTCGTCCTTGCTATCGAAACAGCCGGAATTAAATCTCTTCCTTCAGTAAGCCGCGCATAGCTTGCTTGTTTTACCTCGAAATTTCTCATCGCTATTCAAAACAGATTATCAATGCTTGTTTGTTGACCTCGGCATGGTCCGCATCATCTAGTGACTTGTACACTTCGTCTCGTGCGATTTGTACGTATACTTACTTGGCAGCCAACTCATCGAAATTAACGCACTTCGTAGATGGTCTTGCAGCTTCAGGAAATGCTCCCAAGATCTTCCTTAAAACTACACGCAGTGGGTTGCCTTACGTTGCTGTCCTTTTCTGCGCCTCTTTCTCCCTTCTTGCCTTCATGGCTGTGTCCAAGGGTGCGGGCACGGTGTTTGACTGGTTTTCCAACATGACAGCCGTCGCTGGCCTTATGACGTGGTTTGGTATTTCGGTGACGTACCTCCGTTTCTACAAGGGCATGCAGGTCCAAGGCATCGACCGTAAGACGCTCCCTTACTACACAAATCTCCAGCCATACGCTGCGTGGTGGGGAGTCGTCTCAACGATCACTGTCTGTTTCGTATGTCAAATTTTCATATCCGCTAATACTGTTTAGACTGACTATTCCTTCACTCTCTAGTTTAGCGGATGGAGCGTGTTCCTCAAAGGAAATTGGAATACTGCAACTTTCGTCACCAACTATATCCTTCTTATTACCTGGCCAATCATGTACTTTGGCGCTCGCTTCTACTATGGCACCAAGCCCGTTGCCGCACAGGACATGGACTTCAAGAGCGATCTAGCTGAGATTGCGGCGGATACATATGACGAACCCCCACCAAAGAACAAGATGGAAGCATTCTGGCAATGGCTGGTAAGTATAGCTGCTCCACTTGGGAATTTTTGACATCACTAACGTCACCTCACTCGTAGGTGTAATTGTACTTGCAATAATACTTGGAGCCCATTGATTACCGTCAATTATATCACTTGTTTGTAAGCCTCCAGTTATCCGACATACCTGGTTATTTGTTGTATGTCACTGCCAACTCTACCAATATGATAATATCTAGTCAACTTGATCAAAATCCGATTTTGTCCTTGTAGACAAAGAACAGTGCACCCTATATGTAGTAAACCTTGGTAGAAACGAGTATTTATATGCATACTCGTCTTGATCAAGAATCTAGTTTACCAACAGTGCAGTATTTCAAAATTCTACAGTTTGATCGAAATTGAAATTGAGATGCGAAATCGAACTTGAAGCACGACAAAGCCGTCTATCACAGCAGAATGAGTTTCAAATTTCAGGACTTGTATTGATTTCAGTTAAGTTTGTCTATTTTACCTAGCCATACGAGAGTTAAAAGCGTAATGAGTGAAATACAGTGGGAAGATAATGTTGAGGACGAAAACTGAATGCAACATGCAGGAAACTTAATGACAGTATATATACGTATCAGAGTGCCCATCCAGCGAGCTAGAAACGAATGCGCAGAGGCTGGGTACTAGGCTTTAGGCGCGATGGGGACCTAAGTAAGTGTCTATGCTTTCGCAGAAGGTATATGCAGATTGATGGCTAAGATCCGCTGTCAGCTAAAATGGGAGTTTAGGTATGTGGTCGTATTTACCTCTAAACCAGTTCAAAGCATCAGAAGGTGATGGAGCATCGAAATACAGGATAGCCTTGTTGTCAACCAGGCGCAAAACTAGGGCCGATGACGAAATAAGCAAAACTCCTCCATTTCAAAGATCAACTTACCAGTTCCATGGACGATGCTTGCTGGTTGGGGCAAGGTCTGCATCCGCAGCACCGCCCACAGGTCGACTGCAGACATCGGATCCTTCCCGTCGCTAGGATCCCTGCAGAGAACAAGGAGGTCGTTGCACAGTATTCCGATGAGAGGCCGGGGGTTAAGCTCTGGCGCTAGGCAGTCAACTTGAACAGCAGAGGCGTCCCCCTGAGCATTGAATGTCTCAAATGAAACGACCGTCTTTCGCACCACCCTAGTGAGTAGTAGAGGTCCATCCATGATTAGCCGTCTGATCGAAGCGTCAGAGGATTGGAAGCTAGTGCTTGCGTTCATAGCTCACCGATGTGGTTGTACCAGAGGGCTGGGGAATTTGCCTCGTATTCTTGACTGCCATTGAACAAGTTTTCGTCGAGATTCAGACTCTCGTTTGCCTTCGTTCATGTTATTTGCCAGCGAAGATATTTCTGTCAGGGCTCGATCCAACGAGTCATCCAAAAAGGTATACGATGGTGGAGTGCTCCGTAAAAGCTCTTCCAACTGGACAGACGATCAATTAGTCGTGTCATACACGGACCAGTGCGAACACTTACTAGTAGCCGGTACCGTGGTATTCGTTGAACTGGTAAAAGTAAATAGCCTTCCATGTTGAGTTGTGAATGGCGAGGATTCATGCGGCAACGTTTCAGAAACTGTTTTATTCGTCTCCGTTGTCCAGACGTTAAATGTGCTGCATGACTCGGAGAGGATGGATCAGACATCACGACTGGGACTGAAGGAGACGAGATAGCAAGACCAAGCCCAGCAAGTTGGGTAGTGCTGGAGGAGGGTGTTAGGGTAGAGCCTGGGCTGGTGTTTCCCGCGACAGGCCTGTCTGTCGACCAAAATCTGATGCGCTGGACAGAATTATCAAAGTTGCTGTGCATACTCTGTCAGCAAAGAACGGAGCACGAGATATCCATGTACTTACTTGATATATGTCGAGTACATCCTCATGAAAGCAGCGTATCTCAAGAAGCATCCAGCCACAGCCGTCGCTACCTCCACAGACAATTGACCGTCAGGATCCAACTCTTCACTTCCAGGAGGTTTTTGTAGCAGCGGAGCCGCTGCTTTTTCCAGCGACGGAAGGAAGCTTTCCTTGTGGAATGAAAAGAGCGCTTCGATGCCACTGAAAACGATCTTCCTCTCTGCTGAGGGGATGGTTGTTTCTTTGCCAGAACCGACACCACTGATCAGGTTGACAGGAGCAGCACTAGGCTTGATGTATATGTCAACAAGTTCTTGAAGGCCTTTCACGTACGTCTTCTCCGTCCTTTAAATATCACAGTTAGTACCTCCGCCACAGCCGACAATCAAGTCTCCTTACTCAACAATTTCTCGAACCACAAGTGCACGCTTACTCTTATCATCCTTATACTTCCGCTCTTCTTGAGAACAGTCCGAGGCAGCAACGCTGACCGTCTGTGAAGCCGTCCCACTGCGCAAACTGGACATGGCATCAGGAGACCGTAGCTGCGCAGACATGGATCCTGCTCGAGAAATCGTCGACATCGCGGACGTGTCAGAGTTCGCCCTCTCAATAATCGTCGGCCTGCGCGAGCGCATTCCGCTCGACGAACTCTCTTCCGCTCCGGAATACATGCTGATGGTATTACCACCCTGGGACGTGCCGAGATCGTTCATATCCTTCAAGTACGCCATAACGGAGCGTAAAGCTCGCGTGTATGCCTCTCGGGCTCGTTCCTCCTCTCTCCGAGTAGCAAAATCGACGCTATCCGAGTCTGGGACTGGACTTGATGACATGTGTTCAACCGCGTTATCACCGCCTGATAGGCGTTCCAGAAAGGGTACAGGTGACGACGAAGGAATAGTCGCTGTATCATCGACCGGTAAGAAGCTCCTTCTTCTGGATGACCGTGGAACAGGAGAAGATGATGGAATAAGGAAACTGCCAGGTATAGCAGGCGGCGGAATGGGAGAAGCCTTTTCAGAGGTTGGAGTCTCGTTCTCGGTCTCATTCTCTAGCTCTGGTGGGGACAACGCGACAGAAGGAGCGCCACCCGTGAGCGGCCCGAAAAATTCCGTAGTAGAAAAACGAAGATCAATCTGAGGCGACGTGCTTGAGAACGGTGTCGTGGGATTGGAGGTAGATACAATCCCCGACTCGGCCTGAGAAGTGCGGTTGTACGTAGTGGTCGGGCGATATGGAGGAACAGGAGAATCGGGTCCGGGTCGCATCTTCCCCATCGACATTTTCTTCAAGAAGCCCCATCGCCCGCTCTTTTCTCTATCCTTGGAGTGAGACTGAGACTGCCTTGCAGTGCTGTTCCTCTCCCCATAACTTGGTGAAGAATGAGGTGGATCACGCGACAGCGGTCGACGCGGAGAAGTCGCCGGTGAAATAGTTTCGACGGCAGAGATACGCGAGGACTCAGGAACTGTGGGCTCCAGAGTGCCTGAAGGCGGATCGAACAGTGCCTGAGGTAAGGATGGCCGCGGATTACGCGTGGGGGTAGGCGCTGACGAAGAAACGCCGAGACTGGCGTACCGCTTGGGTACGTTCAAGCGATCGGATTCCGGTGAGCCACCCGCTACGGTAAGCAAATTCGAGCTGGATGCTGAGGTCGGGAGCGCTGGGCGGGCAGGGGTAACGATGGGTGGGTCCTGCGAAGAAATCTGAGAGTCATGTTGATCGAAAGATGAGCGTAGTTCCCCCGCGCTCTTCATTCTCCGCAGATCGTGATCTGTGTAGTAACCTGAATCTTCTACGCGCTTCGATACCCTCAGACCATCATCAGCCGCTTCAGTTCTGGGGCGCGATTTTGAACTGAAAAATGATCCGTTTGGAGCAGTCTTGGTGCGTGTTAAACCCCGCGGAACAGCCTTTGGGAGGGGTAGCGTTGGCGGGGAGGTTGCGGAACGACCAAGGAATGGAGCTCGAGCTGGGGTAATAGTGTCGTCATCAAATTGAGATAATGATGGCCCTTCCGGACCCGCACTAGTAGGCTCCGAGTCCGTGTCGGTCTCTGGCCCCACAGATGAATCAGCAAGGCTGGCAGGAGAAGGGGGGATAATGGGTGTCGAGGGCGGATAAAACAGTGGCATTGAAGTTTTAGCGAGCAGTGGCTCGACCAAAGCTTGCCAAGGACCCTGGAACGGGTTGCCATCAAGATAAAGCTCCTGCAGCGAAGGCAAGAGGCACAGCCAGCTGGGGAGGGAATGCATTTTGTTCCTCCGAATGCTAAGGGTGTGAAGCTTGTCGAGCACGCATAATGAATCGGGAAGGCTACCAATACCAGTAGAATCCGCGATGAGTACACGCAGGGACGTGAGGTTAGTCAAGAACGCGGGCAAGACTCGAACAGGATTAGACGCGACATTGAGCTCTTCTAGGTTCTCACATGAAGCAAGGGCAATAGGAACCGCGTTCAAGAAGTTGGCAGAAATGTCGAGTGCGAGTAGGGTATTGCATATTTGCGGTAAGACGCCTAGCAGGAAAGTCGGTATCGTACCGGGCGTGCTAGACGATCCAAGAAGTAGATGGGTAGTTCCTGATGAAGGGAGCGTCACGAGTTGTATAAATTTCTGTCGTAAATGACACTCGTACTCACCTGGATCAACACGTAGCTGGACAACTGGGATACCTTCGCCTCTAACAATGAGGCCGCGGCCTTCTTCAGCTACCACTACCGCAGATGTCCTTTCCTCCTCCTTGTCGTCAACCTCGTCATCTTCCTCGCCTAGGTCGTCAGTTTCTTCGTCGCTTGTCAAACCAACTTCATCTCTTTCATCTACTGTTTGCCAACCCATGTCAAAGCTAGGGTTTTCCCGAAGGCGTGGTATGCCATTTTCATGCATGCTGTTAGTGTTATTTTGCCCGATGGAAGATGACCTCGATCGAATACTTGCTGAGTATTCTGACCACCTGGTTTGGTCTATTGGAGTCCTTCCTGCAGACGAAGGTGTAACAATCTTAGTCTGTAAGATCTGGTCCACGTCGTCGGATGTGATTCCTACTGCGACACCAATCTCTTCGTCCTCTCCTGTAGCGACGTGAACATGGCCATAATCACTCGACGTTAGTGCACTTCCGGAGCTAGTGTATGCAGACGAACGTGTGGATGCGGAAGAGGAACCTTCAGAAGAGAGAGCAGGTAGGGTGGAAGAGAGCCTATCAGACATGCGGGAATATGGGGAACGCTGGGGATATGGGTCTGGGAACTGAGAAGGATCTGGTAGCGGCGGTACCTTGGGAGGTCGCGCAAATGAGTGTGTTGGAGATGAGTCTAAACGAAAAGAAGATTCGCCCTCGGAGACCGACCGCACAAGAGGTGTTTGTAAAAACGAATGGTCTGGTACCAGGGGATTGCCAGCAGATGGAGACTCGTCCAGACTTGAAGTATCCGCAGTAAATCTCATATTGGTTAAATTCTGAGTACCGTAATGTTGGGACCAGGTCCCAGATTCACCAGGTACAGATGGTGTCGGTGAGCGTGAGCGGGATCCGGGGTGGTGATTGGGAGAAAGTGAGCTGGAAGGCGGTAAAGCGGTTGATGGATGGTCTAGATCTTTGATAATGGTCAGCAAAAAAAGGTCGAGTAACGAACGTCGAAAACAAGTAAAGAATTGTGGTACTAAGCGCCGAGGACTCAAACAAGCACAACCATCAAGTATGAATTAAAACACCAATTAATGTAAGAGCCAAGTAATGATAAATCTCACCAGGTCCATCTATCCAACTGGTTGGTCTTGGTAGGGCATAGTTAACTGGTGGCATGGGCGGTAGTGGTTTTTCGTATGGTGTATAACCAGCTTTTGGTGAAGCTGGCGTTGATCGTGAAGAGGGTACAAGCACGTTGGGATGGCCGTTCCTGACAAGAAGCTTGTCAACAGAACAAGGAGCATAATAAAACTTTGACTTACATGACTGATCTAATGGTTACTTGCTTGTAATGGCCAGACGGAGAATGCTACGTCGACTCAGTGAAACATGAAGCTCAAGCTAGAAACGACCTATTTTTTTTGTCTAGTGCTTACTCTCAGGTTGTTACATAAAACACGTTTTCTTTCCCATAAATTTTGATTATTAGCGTATAACTCGGAGTGAGATACGGGTTGGTCATATCTCCATCACTGCAACCTGGTTACTCATGACCATCACAGTACTGCAGGGTGAAAGCTCTTCAAATCTAATTTTCACACGTCATCTTATGGCTATTTAATTATGCCAACTGCCAGAGCCCTGTTTTACGATGAGTGACTGACTGATCACGATATCTCCTCCTTAACGACATCAAATACTTACCTCTCTAGACCTATATCTCCTCGTCGATCCAACGTAACGAGGGTCAATGTTCCCATCTGTCTTTCGATCGACAGACGTTCTCGATAGTCGATATGTAGCGTTGCCGTCGTTGACTGCAAGGCGTCATAAAGTGACACTCACTTTTTCCATTCCCAGAATGTCCTTTGATGTCATGGTCGTCAATCTGAGATGCCATAACGGGGTATACTGTACTCCATTCCGCTAGACTCCGGCAGTCATCGCCACGCTGATGGAAGCACGCATGTGTGAGGAGCACTACTCACGGGTACGAATCAAGGAACTTCCCAATGCCTATTCTTCATATTATAAGAGAAGAGAAGTGCAGGGATAACGGAGATAAAGTCGTTTCAAAAATCATACAAATCAGGACGTTCCGAACGGAATGCCACCTTTTTCTTTGGCTTCTTTGGCTTTGCAGGAACAAGAGAGTCATCAGCAGTAATATCGGCCATAGCCCGAGTAGGCCCATCAGACCCTACGTCCTTGGAATGTTCAAATTCAACCTCCACGGTTGCAAGGGAACCCTTTCTGCCTTCAGTGGCGAGGATAGTGGCGGGTATCGTTTCATGCGCCATGCCGGCATCCAGGGCCATAGCACTCGAGGCAGGTGTCGTCCGCCGCTCGGTCACACCACCTTCCAAGTCCAGATGTAGTGTCTCAAAGATAAGACGTTTGCGCATGCACTTGAAAGCGAGGTTATTTTCTCCGCTTCCACCCATTGTCCCTGCAGCCGATGACAGGCCGCGGAGAGTGGAATATTTATCACTGGCTGGGAGAATGGTATGGGGGGCCGGAAGTGTAAGAATTTGAACGATGCCGTGATGGGAAGGGAAAAGAGAAGACAGCGAGGGGTCAGCTGGACATATGACATCAGAAAATCTATTGTTGCGCACACGCATCAATGCTCACCCCCAAATGCCGACATCGAGATTGCTGCATCAGTTAGCCACCCCACTTTTTGAACCCACCCAGGTCCTCCCCATGTATCCGTACACATATGAGGGGCGAGAGATAGTGAAGCGCAAGCGTTTGGATATCGATGCAGGAGCCTTCGAAGCGAGTGCAGCAAGGTCAACACAGTCTATCATACATCAGTGACGATCTCCTCAAGCTTGCGGGCGGCTGTGTCTCACTGGTGGTTGCATGTCGCCCCAGTGGGGCGATCCTAAAGCAGGGATACATACTCGAACAGCGTGTGCGTTTGTGTCGTTCGACAGTAGCTCCTCGATCTGCTCGATTACTGCCGTGCCATCCTCAGATATATCGACATCAATCGGGATCAGCTGAGCAGACTGTCTTGCAGCATCGAGGGCTGCAGTGGGGATCCTGCAAGTTAAATCAAATGCTATGCAGAAATCGTCATTAAGACTATAATTGGTTGAACACCTCAGTATCGTCCAGCGTGAGTGGAAGACTTACATACGAGTTGGACGAGACTGTGGTCTGGAACTTCTTCATCTGCTCATAACGCCAGGCAATCTTGATCTTATCATCATGCTGACTCGCTTTCTCGTCGTCCACATCCTCAGCTGTACTGGCTTGTGCAGGCGTCGATAGAGTACTCCCTGCCATCCAGATGCCCTCCCTTGCAAATCTCAGGGGTTCGTCATGGATAATGCAGACTTTCTGACCAGACGCAAGACCTTGCGCTACGAAGTACTTCTGCACTAGTTCTCCGTATGCCGAATGATGATCGGGAGCGAGAACAGCGAGAGAGCAGGACAAGGGTAGTCCCCCACCGAGAATATCATCAAGTGAGGGTATCCCAGTTGAAGTTATTACGGTGGAAGTGGAAAATGGGGAAAGGCGAGTGCCTTGGGGAAGGGTAGCCCGACCTGATAGTGTTTTACGTTTGAACGACGACATCACAAGCGTCAGTAGACCTTCCCTGCATGAAGAGGTTACTCGATTTCAAATTGTATGTCTTGAAGTTCAACCCCCTTTTGGCAGGTGGCCAAGTGGCCCGATGCCATGCACTCATATACAATAGTCAGGGACATATGAACCAGTCACTACATGAGTAAATCGCTGAGCAATCGCCTACCCAACGCAACTAGTCACCGCATACATATTCTCTGGGCAAGATACGCAATGAACAGTATCACCTGCTCGGCGTAATATTCATCATTTGACCGTGACTCATGGAGACTTGCACAGTGCAGGATATTTGGCCTAAACAGCTCACAACGATAACTGCGCCGACTTCTGGAGCAGCTCACTTAAGTCAGAAGCAAGTGCAGGGATGCCAGCAGAGGTGGAGTGGGCTATCTCCTGCTGGTCGTCACCAACCACTCTGATCGTGAATCCGTTCGGTACGCTCGGCAACCGGGTTTGACCGATGCCCCTCTGCCCAGGACACTGGAAAGGATTAAAGGTTATGGGGTATTCTCTAGGTCGTGTGAGATTGTGAACCTCCGAGCCATGGTAATTTAAGCGGGCCTGAGGGAGGATATGGTCGATGATCAGAGGGAATGAATCTCTTTGCTGTTCTGCGGATTGTTCTGCGTATTCGGTGACGGCAAAAGACTCATTGTACATGTGACAGTACAAGGTGACGGACTGCCATTCTGGATAGTTGATGAGCCCAGCATTTAGGCCGATGACAGCATCAGGTTTATTGTATATGGTTCGGATGAAGGGGTGCTGCGGGTGCCAGTCTCCATGATCTCCATAGAGAAAGATAGACAGGGTGCTGGCTCCACATGATACAGGGCTGGTGTACGTGTAAACTGGCTGGTTCCTTTTCGCCTTCATTGCGATGCTATTCTTCTTCGCCTTTTGAACGAGAGAGTGGACCGCGACACCGAAGAGAGTCATCTTGATATCTGTGTAAGGAAGCAGCAAGGCTAATTCAGAGAATCTATTGTGATTGTCGTTAGACTGAAATTAGCCGCTGAGAGTTCCCACATACAGGGGAAGCATATTCAATTCAACTTCGGCACCGATATAGTGCACGTGGAGCGCCTGACGACTCGCCACAGAATTTCTCTTCGGCCCTGTGACGTGGAGCACGTTCACCAGAAGCTGGTATACAGTGAGAGGGTAGTGCAACAACAAGGCGGCTGGCGATTCCTTGGGAAGATTGCGCCACTGGTACCATGAGTCCCAGTCCACAATATCCACCTTGGAAGCAAGCTCAGGCTCCGTGCCAAGCTCAAAAACCAATCGAGGGATTAAACGCTTCTCTAGCTTCCAGCCAGTCTCATCTGTCAACAGTTTATCTTGAAGCAGCATGTAGCCGTGTTCAAACCCCTTTATGTCTTCGATGCAAGGCGCTCCAGCAGGCCGGGGAGGATCACTTGCATGTTTAAGGTGTGGGTTGGAGCCTCCAGGAATGCTCCAGTAGCCGAAGCCCTCAGCACCCAAGACATTACACAAAGCGCGCACGAGAGGCTCGGCAAAGGTGCCATCCTTCTCAATGCGACCCCAAGGAAATTGCTTCAGAAGGGCTTGCACTTGCGGGACCTTCTCCATATGAACCTGAAATGGAACCGTGTCAAACAATTAAAAAAATTTGTACTCCAGGTAAACAACAAGCAAGCATTGATCATTCATACCTTATTCTTTGCGCAGAGGAGTTTGTGACCCGGGCTTCCGTACCTCCCAGCTTTCCAGTTTGCTTTATGGCACTGAAAAGTCCAAGGTAAGGGAGTGCATAGATTTAATGAAAACGCCAATTGACATTCATCGAGCAGAACACAGAGGATTTACAACCCGAGCAGATCAAGGGCTAATGACTCGAAGTTAATCATGGACTAAAACGCGGCTATTTCGACATACTTTGCCACTGATGATGGGTAGATCGCAATTATAGCAGGTTGGCATTATCGAACAGTCCACTTTGCTAGGGTCCCCTCCTGGACGCTGCTCACGCCGGAGTTTTTCTGCGTCTTTGCAGATCAGGCGAGTGATGTCTGCAGCGGTGGGCATGGGCATGTTGAACATCGTGTATGCAGGAATCAGAGGGCGGGTTGGGGGGATTGTGGACGTAAATCGATGGCTTTATGGGGCTGCCTCAAGGCCGCCTATGCAACATTTTACGTCGACAACTGATCCTCGCCCCAGCACTGGATCAGGACCTTTAATCATCGATCAGCCTGGTACACTGCGAACATCTCAGCAGATATGCATGATCTATGTTTCATTGAGCGGTTCCATGTGGAAGGCAACGATAGAGCTGATTCAACCTGGACCATGCCACGTCTGTTGAGTTAGCAGAGCCAAGCACCCCGGACCTCTACATAGTACTTGAGCTTTTAAATTTTAAGGCTTACATTTTACACCGTGAGATCTTGAGCAAGGTAAATATTTACATAATTAATGTTTGCGACATGCTTTGCTTCAATGATACCTCCATCATGGCTGCACCTTGCAGAGCCAGCCATCAAGAGAGTTGGTCTTACTTGTCTTCATGTTCGTATTCAACAACTAGTTCTGCGGACATTCATTGATGTCGTCCAGCTCATTAATTTCGGTTTCGCCTTTCACCTATTCAAGGAAAATGTGGGCGGCCTATGCTTCGTTCGTGAATCCAACCAGCCGTTATCAATGCTTCTGATAAAACATAGATGGCTGGTCCTTCTATGCTTCCAACGCTTGACAACAGCGGCGAACTGGTCCTCGAAAGCATTCTCCCTCATCGGTTATTCCCTAATCATCTTGGAAGGGGGGAGCTCATAACCTTGACATCACCTGTTGATCCCTCTCGTATCATTTGCAAAAGGGTAATTGGCCTTCCGGGCGATATAGTTTGTGTCGACCCGACTGGGCTTAAAGCTCATTCGACAGAGCATGTCGTCATCCCCAAGGGGCACATTTGGATTGCTGGTGACAATGCCGCTTGGTCAAAAGACTCGCGCGATTATGGCCCTGTGTCTATGGCCCTAGTAAGAGGCAGAATCGCTGCCAGGGTAAGTGCACCAAAATTTCTTATGCAAACAGATTAAATGACAGAGGGACTTGCATTACATAGATTTACCCGTTCAACCGGTTCACCGTCTTCTCTAAGAACGCAACCCACATCGAACATTGAGACACGGGACGACAGTCCAAAATCGACAGGCATTATACATTGATGACGTGATTTCTAATACATACTGCAGTTTGAAGGAATTCAAGATCTTGATACTATCGAACAAAGTTCATCGAGTAACCACCTTGCCCATTTGGTTCAAACTTGAAGTTGTCAGTAGACAATCCAAAGTTGCCTGATGGTGTAACGTCAGGCTTGTCATTTTGCAGAGGGAAACGATGACATACCCAGTATACTATTGCCAAGGTTCTTCAGCTTGCCCGTCATCTCGGCCATTTCTTTCTTCTGAGCCGCTTGCTGCCGAGGCTCAAGAAGCTGCAGGCTCCGCTTGGTCTGTGCCACCAGAGGAGATGTAGGGGGTAGCAATTCTAGGAGTGACTTGTAGTCTAGACGATTTCGTTTGAGATATGTCAAGATGCCCTTTAGCAGGAAAGCATACCTTCTTGTGCTTGTGTCAAAGACGACCATGTGTCGAGGTGTTCGTTAGAAGCTGCCCGCCGTTGCAGGGCCTTAATATAGTGAGGATCGTCGAGCAACGCTGCAGCGAAACATGTATGGATATTCTTTTTGTTTTTGCAGACGACTTACACTGGGTGCATGATTCAACTGCACCGCTGTAATCACTCTGATCGATTACAGTGAGATCTTCGAAACATCGAGGATTGATGTGCATACAAGTTTTACAAGACATGCACCAATGTTGGCATTTAACACTGCTCGAGCCTTGGCACATTTTGCCTCCAGCTCAGAGGGGATGTTGGTTGGCTCTGGCCCCTCCTCTCGCGTTGGCACGTTGCTTGAACTTGCCGATTGGGCACCACCATGATCCGACGTATCGTTCTGTGAGCTCTCCGGTAGAGGAGGCTGCAGCTTTCGTCTGGGTAGTCGACTTAGGGCAGTTCTGTATGACACGAGAGCTTCACTCCATCTACTGGCTCGGAACGATTCGTTACCCTCCAACTTCAATTCATCTGCCTCAGTAATGATTTTCTGCCGTTCGAATTGATCAGATAATCAATATTTGACCCTAAATTTAATGATCACCTTGATTTCGTGTTCATCGACTGGGGTGGAGGCGTCGGAAGGTAAATGCTGGTCACCATCTGCCATTACGATGGATGTAATTGAATTGGATCCAAGTTGCCAACTTAGAACCTATGAGTAGTATTACACACTGTGTCTAATACATTCCTCACGATATATGGTGCGAAGTGAACGGCTTGGTAGAAGTGCGTTATTTCATGCACATTGCAAATCGTGCCGTTGAAATTTTGATGGAGAAACCAGGGTGACACAACATCATAAATTAACCGATTACTTGAGAGCCGAACATACACGCATCCCCATGATGGACCAAGTATGCCGCAGAGCAAATCCGAACCATCGTATCAATTACTATTCCTTATTACACACAGTTGAAAACGTTGAAGATGGGTCTTACACCGTGATATCATTCGAATGATTCGATGATTATTCATGTATCGTGGCTATTCGATGTTGGTTTAGATGGTCGCAAGTATAAAGGTCAGCACCTTCATCCCCCTTTTCTCAGCGAACCACCACCACCAACTTACTATTCTATCATGCCCAGCATCAGCGATTCTAAGTGCGTCCTCGTCGTTGGATCCACTGCAGGAATAGGTCGTGCCCTTGCCCTTGCCATGTTGGATCTCCCTTCTCAACCAACTGTCATTGTCTGCGGTCGCCGCAAGGAAAGACTCGACGAACTGGTTGCCTCCAACAATGCTACCGGACGACTCAAGAGTGTTACTCTTGACGTCCTTTCAGAGCGTAACACTCTCAAATCTTCTATCGAGGATATCGTCAACACTTATTCAGACGTATGTACCCCTAGCATTATCTCCTGCAAATCAGCACTGACTGGCTATCTAGCTTGACGCTGTCTTGTTCTCGAGTGGGATTCAACGTGCCTTCGACTTCACCAAGCCAGAAACCGTTGATCTCGACTGTAGGTCTTTCCCACTGTGCACCTATGACATGCTAATTTCGATCAGCTATCGAATGTGAACTGGCCACCAATTACACGTCAATTGTCAGGATGATCACTTTCTTCCTCCCCCATCTTATCAAGCTTGGGGTATGAGCACTTTTTATCTTATTTTATTTTATCTGACCATTTTACAGGAACAAGGCCGTCCGACATTCCTGTTTACAGTATCTTCAGGACTGTCCATTGTTCCCTCCACTGGAGTCGCTAACTACTGCGCGACAAAGTCTGCTATCCACAGCTTGAGCATCTCACTCGCTGTTCAACTCAAGGAGAAGAATGTTCACGTGGTTGAGATTATTCCTCCGTGAGTGACTCCGTTTGTTTCATTGTTGTCGATCTCATTGCCGCGTGAAGGCTCGTCGAGTCGGAGTTGCACGACTGTGAGTTCCTTTCCAATTTTCCGTATCTACTGTCTCTTGACCTGCGCGTTAGTCGAAGGCACTACGCAACGTCTGTCCAATTCCTGGCTTTCACTCGAGGAATACACGAAGGTGACGATGGAAGGCCTTGTTCGAGGCGATCCGTATGTTCCAGCGGGGTTGGCCGTCGACCTGCACAAACAGTTCGAGGAAGGGAAGTTGGAGGCTGCGACGAAGATGCATGGGCATTTCAAGGCAATGACTCAGACATAGAAGACACGCAGTGGAACGCAGAGTCGGAATGTACAGTAATGGTCGTTGAGCTTCTTCTGTTGTGTAATTGAAGTATTCTTCTGAATTTAGGGGGCGTTGCAGTGCTGGGAAATTATAAGTTGCAAAATCCGAATCCCGGTTGGGAGAACTGCGTTGGGTTGTGAACGGTGTGCTAGTAGAAGCTGAGACTGATCCAAGCTTTGCCAGTATGTATATATTACCAAGTACTGCAAGTTAGGGCCTGTTAGGGCGCGCCGTTTCTATTGCCATTCCCGATATTCCGTTCACTAAAAATGTCTAGCCACCCCATTGGTGTGTCAAAATGGCCCGATGCACCTATCATTGCATCACTAGTCAGGGATGTATGAACCAGTCGCTACATATTCTCTGGATGCGTGATGAACAGTACTGCCTACTCAACGTAATGTTTGTCCCTTGACAAATCTCAAGCAGCAGATACATGTATGGTTGCCAAGATACTCAGTCCAAACCGTTCAATGAAAACTGCTCCGTTTTCTGGAGCAGTTCATTCAAGTCTGAAGCCGGTACAAGGACACCAGCGGAGACGGGGTGTTTTATCTCCTGCTCGTCGTTACCGACCACTCTCATTGTAAACCCGTTCGGTATGTTCGGCAATCGTACCGAGCCCAAGTTTCTCTGTCCAGGACGCTGAAACGGATTGAATGCGATGGGATATTCTCTGGGCCGCGTGAGATTGTGAAGCTCCGAGCCGTTCATGCCTGCTGAGTGTAAGCGAGGGAGGGCATGGGCAATGATCTGAGGAAGTGCATCTCTTTGAAGTTCAGCAGATTGCTCTGCATATTCAGTGACAGCGAAAGGTGTGTTGTCAGAATGACAACACAAGATGACGAACTGCCACGCTGGATAACTGGTGAGCCCAGCATTCGGACCGACGATGGCGTCCGGTTTGCTTCCTGAGAGGAAGGGGAGCCGCGGGTCCCAATTTTCATGATCTCCATGAAGAAAAATGGACAGGGTGCTGGCTCCGCAAGACGTAGGACTGGTGTAGGTATAGACTGGCTCGTTCTGTTTTGCCTTCATAGCGATGCTATTCTTCTTTGCCTTATTAACGATAGAGTGGACTGCGATGCCGAAGAAAGTCATCTTGATATCTGTGTGAGGAAGTAGCAACGCTAATTCAGAGAATCTAGTACCATGATGGTCAGCATGGAGAAGATTAACCGCTGAAAGTTCCCACATACAGGGGAAGCATGTTCAATTCAACTTCGGCGCCGATATAATGTACGTTTAGCGCCTGACGACTCTCCAAGGAATTTCTTTTAGGCCCTGTAACCTGGAGTACGTTCACTAAAAGCTGGTATACGGTGAGAGGGTAATGCAACAACAAGGCGGCTGGCGATTCCTTGGGAAGATTGCGCCACTGGTACCATGAGTCCCAGTCCACGATATCCACCTTAGAAGCAAGCTCAGGCTCCGTACCAAACTCGAAAACCAATCGGGGAATCAAACGCTTCTCTAGCTTCCAGCCAGTCTCATCTATCAACAGTTTATCTGAAAGCAGCATGTAGCCGTGTTCAAATCCCTTTGTATCGTCGACGCGAAGCGCTCCAGATGGACCGGACGGATCACTTGCATGTTTGAGGTGTGGGTTGGAGCCTCCAGGAATGCTCCAGTAGCCGAAGCCCTCTGCACCCAAGACATTGTAATAGGCGCGCACGATAGGTTCGGCAAAGGTGCCATCCGTCTCGATGCGACCCCAAGGAAATTGCTTCAGAAGGGCTTGCATTTGTGGGACCTTCTCCATATGTATCTGAAATAGAATTCGTCAGACACTATGAATGAACTGCAGTGTACTCCGGGCAAGAACAGAAGCATTGATCATTCATACCTTATTCTTTGCACAAAAGAATTTGTGACCTTGGGTTCCAAACCTCCCTGTCTTCCAGTTCGCGGTATGGCACTAAAGCCGAAGATGAGAGTGTGTGTAAATGTTAATGGAGATGAAAATTGACATTCTTCGAGCAGAATACAGCGGATCTACAACCCGCGCAGATCAAGGGCTAATGACTCGAAGTTAATCGTGGGCTAGAACATAATCATTTGAACGTACTTTACGACCCATGATAGATGCATCGCAATTATAGCAGGTCGGTACTGTCGCAAAGTCCAGTTTACTTGGGTCCCCTCCTGGACGCTGCTCGCTCCGGAGCTGCTCTGCCCCTTTGTACGTCATGCGAGTGATGTCTGCAGCAGTAGGCATGGGTATTTTGTTGAGCATCGTGGATGCAGGGATATCAGAGGGTGAATTGGAGGGATCGTGGATGTAGATTGATAGCTTTAAAAGTTGCAGAGGTAGCCTCGAGGAGGCCCATGCGGCAAATTCAATCGATAACTGATTCTTGCTGCAGCGCTCGACCAAAACCGTTGACCATTCTAAATTCTGATAAATTGCGAACTTTTCAGCATATGTGCATGATCCTGCATTTCACTGAGCGGTTGCATGCGGAAGATCTGACTAGAACAGTCAGAATCACTAGCTGAACAATTATTATTTTAGATACATGTAGTTGAGTGCCACGAGCCCATATGGCCAGACTGCCGTGAGAAGGAAATTGAATCCCCGTGACTTGCAGGAGGCAGCAGGCTTCATTGATACCTCCATTATCATGTCACAACTGCCCTGTCGTATCTAACAACCAAATTCTTATTCTGTGGACGATGGATTTATGTCATGTAACTCATTAGCGTTCTGCCTCTACTAAGGGAAACGTCATTAGCTCATGCTTCGTTTGTGAATCCCAGTAACAGCCCTGCGCGATTGCATTTTCAATGCACGAATCTTCTAACAGCTTGCTCACGATTGTTTTCATCCATTCTACATACCACTACACTACCCCGCAGTTGTAGCAGCCCCTGCCACATCTCAGGTCAGTGGCAGTCTAACTCTAACGAGTGGCGCTTGATGCGGTTGATTTTCTGGCGTTCGAGACGGAGCTGTTTGCATAAGTGCTAGGCCCTTTTCTCTGATTATGCGAGTGAGTTGTTTCCTTAAAGCTCTTCTCTGTAACAGCGCGAGCTTGTTGTGAATGAGCAAATTGTTATTGGAAGATGTTGTGTCAGAGTTTTCGGCGAGGCATCATGAGGCATGTATTTATTTTTTGCGGGCGCGTAGAAACTGATCTCTCTTTACTGTACAGCATCGCTTTTTTTAAGATGCTGTTCTCGGCACTTCGAAGCCATAGTAAGTGATTATGAGGTCTATTGACAAGTGTGAACCCCACAGTTTAGGCTGAAGAGTGTTGCGTGTCGCGCACCGCGAAGCTGTAAGTTGTCGCGTTTTTTTTTGGAGATTAGCTCTTGTGGCTGAGAATATGCATCGCACAGGGGCTGTCTTCTTTGTGCATCTAACCTGCAGCTCTTCTGGTTCGTAAACAGCGAATGAATTTTTGATTTTCTGCCTTTGGGTGTTTAATTGACCTTCACTGATACTGTAATCTGTGTTCGGTTCTAATTCCCAGGTAATCAGTATCTTTTCAATGAAATACGCCAGTGAACATGAAGTGACAATGTGCATAGTTAGTCCAGTGCAAAACTCAAACTTTCAGTCCCCCCTGCATGAAGTTTATACGGGTATCACACTGTACTGGTGGAAACATGGGCATATGGTGTAATATAAGTGTCAGCCCATGCATATGGCACTCGAAAGCAGAGGGTCGACGTACGCGTCCCAGGTGGCAATGCAGATCCGTTCCATCGCATTAATGCATCATTCCTCGTTACACAAAGTTAAAGTTCCTGATGAGTGGCTATGATGACAACATATTATGATCGCGTAGTTATAAAGGTCAGCGCCTTCATCCCTCCTTTTCCAGCTACTATCAGTCTACTACCACAAAGCTTGCTCTTCCATCATGCCTAGCATCAGCGATTGTAAGTGCGTCCTCGTCATTGGATCCACTTCGGGGATAGGTCGTGCCCTTGCCCTTTCAATCTTGGATCTTCCTTCTAAACCAACCGTTATCGTCTGCGGTCGCCGCAAGGAAAGACTCGAAGAACTTGTTGCTACTCATCATGCTACAGGACGACTCAAGAGTGTTACTCTTGACGTTCTCTCAGAGCGCAACGCTCTCAAATCTTCTATCGAGGAGATTGTCGATACTTACCCAGACGTATGTGTCCCTAGCACCGTCCCCTGTAAATTAGTTGACCGGCTGTTCAGCTTGACGCTGTCTTGTTCTCGAGCGGCATTCTACGTAGCTTCGACTTTACGAGGCCAGAAACTATTGATCTTGACTGTAGGTCTCTCCCACTGTGCACCTATGATATACTACTAATTTCGGTCAGCTCTTGAGTGTGAACTTGGCACCAATTACACGTCAATTGTCAGGATGATTACCTTCTTCCTCCCTCATCTTATCAAGCTTGGGGTATAAGCTTTTTTTATTCTCCTTTCATTTATCTGACCCTTCTGCAGGAGCAAGGCCATCCGACATTCTTGTACCCAGTTTCCTCAGGGCTGTCCATCTTTCCCGCCCCTGGAATCCCTGACTACTGCGCGACGAAAGCTGCCCTCCACAGCTTGAGTATCTCACTCGCTGTCCAGCTCAAGAGGAAGAATGTTCACGTGGTCGAGATTATTCCTCCGTGAGTGACACTATTTGTTTCATCGTTATCGATCTCATTATCACGAAGACTCGTCGAGTCGGAGTTGCACGGCTGTGAGTTCTCTTCCAATTTTTTCGTCTCTGCTGTCTCTTGACCTCTGCGTTAGTCCAAAGCACAACACAAGGACTAGCTCGTTTCTGGCTTACGCTTGAAGAATATACGAAGGAGACAATGGAGGGCCTTGTTCGAGGCGACTCGTACGTTCCAGCGGGGACTGCTGTCGAACGGTACAAAAAGTTTGAGGAAGGGAAGCTGGAGGCTGCAGCGAGGTTATATGGGCAATCATGATTCAGACAGAGAGAACACATTAAATTATCACAACGGGATCTCAGGAATTTCTGAATGCTTTCTTGGGAAACTACATTGTGTCGTGCACAGTCTATATTTATGTAGCAGACGAAGTTAAATTTTGCCAATATACCTAATACATATCACTGAATTGGCAAATACTGGGGCACACCGTACTCATTGCTATTCTCGATTTTCCGTTCTGAAACATTGCGTGTGCCACGCCAATAAAATATTCAGTCGCTTCACATGCAGCTCGTGGGAGAATGAAGTAGCGAAACTAGGTATAAGTGTGGACCTGGTGGCATTACAGGAATCGTTGAGCGAGAATGTTAAGATATACCTCAGTGTAAGACTCGGACAAGTGTCTTCCCAATATTGTGTGATTCAACATGCCACAGTATGTGCATTACGATGAAGCGGCAAGCTATCTATCATCCGCACAGTCCCTCTCAAAGGTTTCCACTACCATCAAGCTCGAGGTCAATATAGTACTCTTAACTTTGATCCATTCTCTAACTTGTTCACAGCTCTATGGTCTATTCAAATATCTCAAGGTGGCCCCGAAGCCGCAGGGCTCAAGGCCACACATTGTAGTCTAGACTTACCCAGCCGCTGACGCAGAGGCTCAGATGAAGAAAATATTCATGTCCTTCCAATTCTGTCACCGTGAATCCTTGGGGGACCTACGTGCTCCTTGTGTTGGAGGAAAATAGTTCCCGCTAGTTCGGGTTGGCTAGGTCTCCTCGTCGTGCAGTACGTCACGCGTTTCACGACGCGTCAAGTCATGTGACTGTACAATATCATCTTATCTTTAAAATTAAAATTCTCTTGACTCCGATCGCGAGTCACTTTGACTCTCCTTGACTAGGCAACTAGTTATTATATACCCGTCAGTTAGAGCAAGAATATACACCTCGATCGATCATGTCTACCCAACGCCTCTGGCTTCGTTGCGAAAAAAAGGAGTTTGAGCGTCGCTCAGCCCTCACGCCTACAACGGCGAAGAAGTTGATTGATGCCGGCTTCAAAATCAGTGTCGAACGCGATGAACAACGGATCTTCGATGATGCCGAGTTCGAGGCGTATGTATAGTGCAAATAATATAGCCGTTGTCGTCCGCTAAGCACCCGTTGCAGTGTCGGTTGCACATTGGTGGACAACAACTCATGGCCTACGGCCCCTACAGATGTCCTCATTATCGGGTTGAAGGAGCTCCCAGTATCTCAAGAGCCCATTCCACACACACACATCCAGTTTGCCCACTGTTACAAGCGTCAAGCAGGATGGTCATCCGTCCTGGCTCGCTTCTACAAGGGAGGAGGTACACTCTATGATCTGGAGTTCCTCACCGATGCTACGGGTCGGCGTGTTGCCGCTTTCGGGTATCATGCAGGCTTTGCTGGTGCTGCTGCTGGTGCACTTGCTTTGGCTGCACAAAGATCAGGAGAGAAGTTGGGCCGTCTGGAACCTTATGAGAATGAAATTGCCATGATCGAAGGTGTCAAGAGCACCCTCGGCGGCAGCGCCAAGGGCGTCAAAGCTCTCGTGATTGGTGCTCTCGGACGATGCGGACGCGGAGCTGTGGATCTCTTCCGCAAGATTGGTCTGGCTGAGTGAGTGATTGCGCGAAGTTAAGCATTGTATATCTTGACAAAGCCTTCGTAGGGACGACATATTAAAGTGGGATATGGCTGAGACTGCCAAAGGTGGCCCATTCCAGGAAATACTTGACGCGGATATCTTTGTAAATTGCATTTACCTGTCGTCTTCGATCCCCCCTTTCTTGGACAATAACCAGATTACCGCTGCCGGCCAAGATAGACGGCTGTCGGTAGTTGTGGATGTCAGTTGCGACACGACGAACCCATTCAACCCCATCCCGATTTACAGTATTAACACAACCTTTTCCGAACCAACTGTTCCTGTTGATCTCAGGTGCGTATCTGTGGTACATTGCCTGAACTAGCTAATATCCTGGCTTGCGTACCAGACAAGATTTGCCGTTGCTGTCGGTGATTTCCATTGATCACCTACCAACGCTGCTTCCCCGCGAAGCTTCTCAACAGTTCAGCAATGATTTGTTACCGTCACTTTTGGAGCTTCCTCGACGAGAGACTGCAAAGGTCTGGACTGACGCAGAGAAGTTGTTCCACGAGAAGCAAAAAGAAGCAGTTGAGGCGGAAGGCCTGTGATCGGTTGCGTTGAAAATTGAGATTCAGGCTGGTGAAACATGACCTCGCCCTTGTTATCATTGTTGTATTAATATCAGGAGGAGATACCACGCCTTGTAATGATGTAGACTCTGATATCAGTGTTCAAAGTGATTTGGCGTGAACTTGGCGTTGGGAACTTATCGTAAGCCAGCTGGCAGGCATGGAAAAGCGGTGTTATATCTGTTGGCAGGATACAACGTTGTCAACTCGCTAGTTCTATACAACCAAGTGAATCTGGATGATGGGATAAACCAGAAGTTGTGTCTTACAAGAGCAATTCACTGTGCCACTGCAACTCCACTTTATGTACTAACCGCTGCGACTCGCGAGCGTGGTGAAACTCCTCGTGTTTGCCACCTTTACTGCTCCTTTTATTTCCATCCACGTCCACCCGACAGACTTCCATTCTTTTCATTCTTTCATTCTTTTCACAGTTGGCGCCGGTCGCCCTCCCAAACTATGTTATCCGCCATCGGTACATCCATTCCTCACATACGCATTTCGCCTGCTTCGCCAGTCAAGGCATATCGAGAGCCCTACTCCCCGTTTGTCTCTGCAGGCAACCCAGACAAGGATGATAGCGGGTACCGCCCACAGTCGTTGAGCCCCCAATATCACTTTCCTGCCATATCTCCCAGGCATTCGTCTCCTCTTCGTCCTGCAGACTGTCCTCCTCCAAGAGAGTTTCATCGTGATCAGTTTGATCTGCTTCTCGAAGTATCGCGTGACAAGAGAGCTGCGCTCGGTTCAAGAAAGGTCCCAGATCTGCGCAAGGAACTTGCCATTAAGAACCAGAGAAATAAGCAACGTGAGTCAAATCGATCGGTGGCATGAATGAGTTATGATCTCATTTCGCTATGCGCTTATTTAAAGTCGAGCGTCGTGCATTCTTCCTGTCAAGAATTCAGGAACCTACGTTGCCCACTACAGGTTCCAAAAACCCTATTGAGTTCCCTAGCGTTGATCGTTGCACACTCCCATCTCTCGGCCTCGGTTCACCGTTGTTCTACTCATCTGATGAGGAGCATGATGGTTGTATTGGAAAAGATCTCCCCGGCCCCCGCACCCGGTTCGAACAGGCGGATTGTCGTTTACCCATCAGCAAGCCCAAGGCAGACCTGAACTTGGGTAGACGCAAACTTCCATCGCTGGAAGAGATCACCGCCCGCGTCGGACCACTCCATCCTCCCCCATCGGTGGCCAATGAGCCTATATTCGTAACACCCCGTCTACCGATGTTCCTAAGGAGCAACAAGAACTCGTCAACTGCACGGACTGTCTCGGACACGAAACCTTGTATCAACATCGGCAGATTACATATGCCCGTTAGACGCCGTCAGAGCAGCGACTCTCTTTCTTATATGCGACTAAGCGCAATACCCGGCTCTCCTTGTTACCCAAACATCGAGATAGCCAGTCCCCATGCTCGCAGTAATGCGATATGCGCGTTCACTGAGTCCAATATGCACGTCCTTGGCCGAGCCAACACTGCTCGTGAAATGATGACCACCATCAAACGTCGCACGTCCCCTCCTCTCCCGTGCCTTGAAAACCATCAGCCTAGGCCAAAGAGACACAGCGCTCCCGCGGAGGTGCAACTAAGAGGACGCTCTGGCTTCGAGCATCCAAACCTGTCGTTGCCTGGGGCTTTCTGAACAGACATTCTGAACTTTATCTTGGTACTGCCGTGCAGTTATTGCCATGGACAGCTTATTGGACCTAGTGTTTTCCTTAGTATAGTACGCCGCCACATGTCTTGATGACACAGGGTCATGTAACCGTCTGGACACAAATCCGTTGCTTCTTTTACTTCTTGGCCGATCGCGAGCTCGTTTGATACACGTGCACTCCTTCGACACCACTGCCTACGCTCAGACACACAATCATTTACGTGTTGTTATTAGTTGTTCTTACTATTACGAATACGACTTTGAGTGTACTCCTTTCAGTATGCGTATTATGCACACAAGGGTACTTGATTACCTCCTTTTGTCCGTGGGACACGTGACTGCGAACTACTTCCACGATTCCACCGTTCGCCACCGATGTTCACGGGTATCAGAGATACTACTAGGTGGTGGGTGTGAACTAGTGCTGCTGGCTGGTGGCAGCGAATCTGGAGGTGGTGATGGGGGCCGCCCACGCAGTCGAGCAATGACGTCTACACGTCTGCCTTAGTAACGTCAATATCGAGACCATGAATGATGACCACTTGTCGCTCACTGTAGTCAAGTCTAACATGTTCGTCCTGTAGTTCTTCATCCGAGTCTGCCAAGGGATCGGTAGAGGTGACGACCTGCCACGCATCTAGTGGTGTCCATTCACATCAGTGTACATGAAACACTACTCATCACCCACGTTGCAGCATATTTCTATGAGGTCCACGAGAGTTACTATAGCTAGCTCTATGGTCTTCGCTAACTGTAGGGATATGAAAACGAGATACCCAGAAATACGAAGGAAGAGCATACCAGAATGGGTAATCTGAGGTGCGCGGTCGGGGGGGAGATAATGGATGTAAGGTTTGTCCCTGATACCTTCTTGCTGTGGCCTGAAAGGTCTTGAACGACCAGAAGTGGGCTCAGTCACTGAATAGATGGTTAACAAATAACTAAATCAGTGATCGACAAATAGTCGCACATTTGGACGCAGACACAGCGGCCTTAACCTTTTTCTCTTTTTCGATTGAGTGGACGAGTTTTTGCAGAAAGAGGTTTCTTTGTGCTGACATCGCCTTGCCCCATTCGATTTCATCGGGTGCGTCTACATTTTCCTGTGCCATCTCTTCTTCTGTGAGACGGTGCAGCCAAGGAACCTTGCCGGGATTTTGGCGGGAGTAATCGTCGTCATACGGATTTGGTTGATCAGGGCCCTCCAAATAATGAAATATGAGCCATAGAAACGCGCGCGCACGGTCAGCTGAAGCTATATTGATAGGCAAAAAAAGATCCAGGAAGTTCACGGGCGGATCGAAATGAGTGCTTGCAAGCGGCTGACGAGCAGTCAGTGCGAGGAAACTAAACTCAAACAGAAACCTTACGGCCGCATGGTTTGCGAGAACGAATATTAGATTCACAACACTTGTAGATGGAAGTTGACGAGCCCTCTGGCGGTATGGAGATGAGCTGCTGCATGAGGAACCATGGTGATGAATTCGCGTACGCTCTTCTGCAAGATTTCTTCCGGAGTAGACGGAGGCATGTTCTTAAGCTCAGATGGGAGCAAAGCAGCCTTGAGACAGTTCTTGATCCGCGGGGCATCCTGGGCATTACCATCAGTCTTTTGAAGTGAGGGCACCGGATGATAAGTCCGTAAAGCTGTCTTCATTTCTGGAAAGACTGCCCTCATTATGAGCACGTACGAAAAGCGAGGCACGATGGGACTCACATGCCATGGTGGTATTGATGCGCCCCACGTTTGTCAAGAGAGAAATTTTGGCAAGCTCGACTGCAAAAGCAGGTGTTTCTGCCATCTTGTCTTTGAGGACTTTGGAGCACTTGTGTGACATATACAATGCGTTGACATAGAGATCGCAGAAGTGGACCTTGGAGTCCTCGCTGGGGGCTTGGGGGGTAAAAACTTTCTGCCTGTCATTGAATATATGGCAAAGGAGATCGAACTGGACGTCCTCTCGAGTGAGAGGTTCTGCGTCGTTGCGCTTTATGGGGAGAGCTTTACGACTTAGGTATCCCACGCTGAGGACATCAAGAACGTTTTGAACAATGAGCTACATCAGTGTGGATGAGTTGATGGAAACATACAGAGGAGCAGGTTCGATTGACCAGTTAGCAGGCTGGAGATGGTAGTCAGAAGTTGAAGCCATTGAGTGGTGCGGTAGCTGCAGAGGATGGATGGGCTACTTATGCAAGGAAACATGAGGCAGTAATCTTTCCTATTGATGATGACCATTTGTATTGCAGGTATGCTTAATTGACGGAATCTCACGTGTAGTGCCACGGGGCCAAGCTATGTTGATGAGCGCCTGACCTGACAGATATTGATCAAGCGCCAGAAAATTAAACCATCGCAACAATGTTCGTTGGTCTGAATGGTTGCGACGAATGAACCCAACTTATAAGTAGATGTCCTCTTGCCAACCGTTCAGCTTAGCAGGACCGTTCAACAAAACAGGTTTTGCCGATCGATCAACCTTCGCGGAATCAAATGTGGGAAATAAACTCCAAATTTAATCTTGATTTTTCTTGCAGCAAATTCATTTCACAGACTAGTTGTAGATCTAACCAACCATGGACAACCTCAAGTTCGATGAAGCTACCCAAGTACGTCGCTACTTTTAACAGTTCTCATTGATTCTCAGACAGTTATTATAGAAAGAGCTTGCTACGTTCTTAGAACGAGAACAAGCCCAAGCTCGCATCAACTCCACCGTCCACAACCTCACAAGCATGTGTTGGGACAAGTAAGCCTCCGTCTTGACATTCGTAATCCTTCATTTGAAAAATTATTTGATGCAGATGTGTCACCAGCACTCCAGGTTCTCGCTTCGCCCGTGGGGAGGAGAGCTGTCTCTTGAATTGCGTGGACCGCTTCATGGATACTAGTTTATTCATCATCAAGACTATAGAGGGACAACGCTCGCAGCAATCATGAGCTGCAACTTGCATAGTACCATACTTACCGCTCGACCCTCGTTCGCTTAATTGTTTACATCATCTCACCTCATCCAGCCCAGAATATGTTATTACATGAAAGATTCCGAGGAGTCATCTAGACTTACAACATAGAACACAACAACTCATCAAAAAAGAGCCTGCACCAACCTCGACCATAATACGTATACCGCTATTGGAGCAAGAAAGCAGAAAGCACCTGGTATCTCCCGTTTACTCCCTAGTTCCAGTGGGATTTCGACAGCACCGGTATGACCAGAGGGGAAGCAACCTGAGCGATGGAACGTCGTAATAAATTCATCCTTGTCCATCCACAGCTTTCTAAGCCACTCATCAAAGACGGTCTTCTCTTGATCTGGGAAGTCTACTTCAACAGGATCATGATTAGATCCATTGGGAGTCACAGCGGGATTCGTCCCTGAGATGTCTCCTATGGGAACATCCTTTGCGACGTCAAATATTCTTAGATGCATGTGCACTATAGGCGGAGGTACGCGGTCGAAAAATATCGAGCGGAGTGTGTAGAATGATTGTCCATATCCCTTTGGCGGAATGCCTAGCAGCAGTAACGATGGTTAGCGGAATATTGGACCATCCAGGAACGTACCTGGATATATCATCGTAATGTCGATCAATTTCAAAGATGGCAGGCGCGGCGCAAGTGAGCGAAGACTATAATGTAGTCCCGTCGACCGAGGTAGCAAGATATTTAGTGGATCAGGCTAGAGGAAACATGGTCATCATCGACTTCACTCAGGATGGTAGTAGAGACGCACAATACCAAGCTTGTCCGCGTATTTCCTGCTAATAGGGCGTGTATCTTTACTCACAAGGGTGCCCTCTGGAAATAGGATAAATGTGAATGGCTTGTCTTCTTGTTCTGCTTGTCGGCCGAGTTTTGCGAGTTTCGATGATAATTGTATTCTATCAGAGGCCCATGAACGCGCTAGAAAGATGAATCTAAATATTTGCATTGCCTTCATCGTTATTGAGCAAAAGAGCTCCAAATTCATGAATCTTACGTACTGGTCCAATGAGAGGAACCCATTTCAGACTGTTCTTCAGTACAATGAAGACATCCTTGTGTGATCCCATAAAGTAGGTGAGGCACCAGACATACCACCAGTCGGAGTAGACCTGAAAGCGAATCAGCGCACGCTACATGATCAGGATGATGACGCACCTGGTGGTTCGCGATAACGACCGTTTTAGATGGTAGACGTAAGGCCACCACCCTGCCAGACGCATCGCGTTCGACGACATGTCTAATCTCCTCCTCTGTGAATTTCCCTGGTCCTACCCGTTCGAATGTGATGGAAAGGCGTGTCGGGGCGAACCATTGGTTCATCAAATCTAGCAGGACGTGTCGTCATATAGTGTATTGCCGGCACCATGCATGGTTGCTCACTCATAAGCGTCGCAAATGCGCCCTTCGTATACCGTATCCCCTCGTCATATAACTTCCAGGCCCGTGGACTTGAATAGAAAAGCTTCAAGGGCAGTAGAAACAAAAGTTGAAACCCGTGGACCATGAGGCATCCTGGAATAAACAACGTGATGAAGAAGGCGCCATTGAGCGTCTGGGTCCACGTCCTTGGAGGACGTGCAAATATGGGGAGCTCATGCTGTCTAGCAGCGACGGTCATAGCGGAAGAGAAAGGAGGTGTGGGTAGTCGCAGTCGGGAACAGTACTAGGACTCAACTCTCCGGTCATGCTTTCAAAGCTGCCGCGGCGCTCCGAGTCATTTATTAGGCTATGCACGATGAATTGATACGCGTGTTTCAATTACTATGCATCGCACACACGTATACCAGTACTATCCCTTCCACTACAATCGGCACCCACAGAAGTCAGCAGTCACGACATGTGACATAGGCTGGTTTCAAAGTCAGCTCGGCAGTCAAGCAAGAGCGCAAGGTCAATTAGTATTCGGCGTGAGTGAGCAAGTACAGTAGATACGAGGGTGACCATTCTGTGTATAAAATTGAGGTGGATGAGGGAGACCATGTACATCGCACGCTGAAGTCTATGTAAGTTCGATGATGCAATGAGACCGCTGGATAGATTATTATGCTGTATTGTAGGGTCCTGACAGATGCAGTGACTGAATTCTTCGAACGCATTTGTCCCGTCTGGAAGAGTGCAGACAAATTCGTGGTTTGTTAGCAAAGTGCTGATTTTGATGTCAGCAAGAAACTCCTAGATTTTTGATTTTCTCCCTGAGTTCCTTGACTAGAACTTGCAAATCAGTCGGCACCTGCAGTTTTAAACTCCGTCACGGCACAAATCGGCGGGTGCGTGACTTCGGCACCTTCAACTATCTCACTCAATTCTGCTTCAATCATGGTCGTTCAACCTCATAACAAGTTTTATTAGAGAGATAATGATATCTACGCTAAGAATTTTATGTCGAAGTAACTAGAAATACGAGTTTTGTGAAAGTGCCGACTCTGTGGGGTGCTGATTGCAGTGGATAGCAAAGATCCGGAGCAAATCCGATGTTCCACATGATACAACATGACCTCGGCCCTTCAGAAGTTTGTTGTCCGACGTCATTGCTGGCGCTCACAAGTACCTAGCCTCTGGATTTCAGGAAAACGAACGATTAATCGATTATACATCAAGCCTTCTTCAAGCTCAACCTCGAGCCCACATCTCCTCAACTTAGGTTGGGGCATAGCCGCCTATCATTACACTGCGCAGCAGTCGTGATGCCACTGATATGAATATTTATCCTAGAGTCTCAGAACAAGTTCGGTTCGGCATATTTGGACTCTTGGAGCACATCTAGTAACGACGCAACATGTATCCTCTGAACCAGACTGTGCATGGACTCACATCGGGGTTATCGAACTCAGCTGTTCAATTTGCCCGTTATACAAACATCGCGAACCGCTGCACCGCAGGCAGACATTTTCAGGTACAACGTCAGCTCGAGTTATCTTGTCTTTATATGTCTGTCGGCTTCAGCTAACACCGCGACGAACCGTATAGTAAGCCGAAGGTCAAGAACCTCTTTCTGTTTGATAAGACGAGTACCAGCGCTAATTAATCATTACTAGCCACTGAGAAGTGGAGTTAAACTTTCAACAACCACCGACACATCCACCCTGGCGAGTCGAGCTCATGGAACACTCACAAGTTCTAATAGAAGTCAAGGGAGGGGGTCCATGGGTATCGCAGATCGAGAATGCTTTAAGTGGTGTGGGGGGCAAAACTACTTGGCTTTGATTTTGCCTGTTATAACGCACGGGTTCTCTGTACAATCTAGTTTGGTTGTACTTCGACGGACGTGTCTGAGACTTGCGGAAATTCAATAATATGTTCGTCATTGACTACGAGGATCTTCACACAAGTTGTGGTCTACAATGTGCTGATACATCCAATACATTATTGTACAGAATTTTCTGTAACTTGAGTTTCGGTCCTACAGATGATTCTGGTTGGATTCCACCAAGACTTACGAGTCTACAATACTGTAAGTCGCCTCACACAGCTTCACTATGAATGACAATATCAATGTATCCAACATTTATTGTGCTGTAAGTTGGCTATAAGGACTGATACATCAATAACGGAATCCCCCCTAGCAAACGAAAGGTCTTCCAACTTGACCATTGGCGTATGCTCCGACGATGAGCTATCATTGAAAACTGACAGTGAGACGAGTGTCAGATATGAAGACACAAAAACTGACCTTTATCGACACATAAGTCCCAGCAACACAGATGAAAGTGCCACCAATGACAGTCAGCACTGCGATCGTAGTCCCGATCGGTCGTCGTTTGAGTCCGTCCACGCCACCCTTGAGATGATATACGTCATGCAACCAGAAGAATCCGGCCAATCCGTACGTGTACCATGCGGCAAAGAGGGCCGCCGCAATGCCGATTAGGTAGGAGAATATCGGAACGGCGATGGCGAGAATTATAGCGATAGCTACGCCTGCTAAACACAGCAAAGTCCAAACTGTCCATCCGAGTAAGGTATGCGAATAGACGTGCTCTGAATGACGAAATATGCGAACAAACACCAGCTTTGCAGCTGTATGAGTGTATAGCCCAGAAGAGCTTCCCGAAAAAGATTTAGTGAGGACTAAATCAAACAGCTAGGCATCACTGACAACAGGAAATTTGCGAGAGCAATGCCAAACGTTGCCTTTGCCCATGCCGGAGGAAGAGAAAAGAGGGCCGGGGACTGCACCGTGTTTCCAATGTAGACATACATGACTATGCTAAAAACAGCATAAAATACTGTAGCGAAGCCCTGCAGACACCAGGCTGCCTGAAAATGGCCATCAGTCACAACATCAAGCACAGGAGCGTTCTGACCTTCATGGCGTCCTCGGGTCTACGCATCTCAGATATTAGAATAAAGAACCTATCAAAGATCAATTTCAGCAGAAACATCATGGACAAAGTCATACATGAAGTGTCCTAGTAAAGTATTTAGGAATGCCGATCTCCATCACAAAATTCCGTACCTGCATATGCAAAAACCTACTGAGCTGATAAGCAACGGTAAGTTACTCGAAGTCATAAGAAGGTACTCACAGGATTTGTAACAGCCAAGAAAGCATCGAAAAAGTTACTCGAGGTAGTCACTGTCAGAGACCGTCCGGGAACTGGGTTCGCCCCTGCTCCAATCATTGCAATGAAACCAGCCAGGGTAATGACTGCTGCACTAAGAAGACCCATCCATGCCAAGCGATCCAGTGTCCGCGGTAGTGAAATCAAGAAAGCAATGGCGCCAGTGATAATAACCAGGTACATGCTACACATGCCCTGATTCGAAAGCGTTGACAGTGCCTGCTGGCTGGAAAGTAGTTCAGAGCCCTGCTTAGCATAATTCAGTTGCGGGGTATTCAAATTGACTCAATGACGCACAGAACCAAATACAGCGAAAGCGACAGTTCCAAAGGCAAGCACCTCCCGAACCACAGGTCCGAACATGATGTATCCAGCATCACCTAGAGCATCTCAGGTGTTTGAAAACCATTGACAACGGAATTTATTACCCATGGTATGGACGTTAGGATGATTCAGCTTGAAGT